TAAATGTTTCAGGTAATTTCTCCAATGGTATTTGATTAGAATTAATACTAAGTAATTGAAGATGATGAAATTTTTTAATAGCAGTTAAAAAGTTAAAATTAGGAAATTGATTAAAACCTATATATAATTGTTTCAATTGTTTACCTAAATAAAATAAGTTTAAACTAAATAAATCTTTATTTTCATTGTTATCAATGAGATTAGTTAGTCCACAATTTTGAATATTTAATTGTTCTAAATTTCTATTAACATAATTACCTAAATTTAAGTTTACACTTGTTTCGTTAGATTTTATAATTGTTTCATGACTATTATCAGATGATGACAGTGTCATTTGTAAATTTGTTCCATCCAAACTGAATAATTTTAATGTATACAAATATTTTGCCCATATATGAGAATTTTCTAATAATTTCCAACCATCACCAGTTTGTTGTTCTATTCTTAACTTTATAAGTTTATTTTCTAAATTATTAAATGGAAATGCTTCATTATGTATTCTATTCAAATTATTGTTTATCATGGTTATAATTTCCAAATGTTTTATCCAACCATGAAATGCATATTGTGGTATACCAATAGACATATCAATATTTTCTAAATGAAGTGATTTTAAATTGTGTAGATTTTTTAATTCTTGAAATAAATTTCCAGATATTTTTTTCAATTCTCCACTAAAAAAATTTCTAATATAAAGTACTTCCAGATCAGATAAACCTTTAAAACATCCATGTTGAAATATATGTAAAGATAATCCTTTCAAAATAAGTTTACGTTCAATAATTCCATGGTATGTTGCTATGTCATTAGAATTATTCATCATAATATTTTCAAATGTACCAGATGTACATATTTCAATATCGGGATTATTTTCAATATGTATAGTACTAATTGAATAGTTATTATCGGATTGAATTATTATTGGTAATTTATTGCCAAATTGTGATGTAATATCTTCTCTACAAATAATCATTTTAGCGGTTGGATGTATTGGATCTGATTGTTCAATACATGGTCGGAAGTGTTCTGATCCACGTAAATAGTCTACAAGATGATGATCAGATTGTAATGAATTATTTTCATATAACTCGATTGCATATATTGTCATCACAAATAATAACATGCCATAAATATACAAACATAATGTTGCAAGACAGACTAGTTGTTTTCTTTGATAAATAAACATTTTAGTTCCATGTTGAATATTTACTTATGTTTATCGATCACATGATTCGTGTTAAAGAAAGTACAGTTTATTTATTATGTAGATAAAATGCGGATTGTATATCGATTGAATTATTGGTCCATCATTTTTTAAGATATTTATGCTTTAAAATATTCCATATTTCTATGATTAACTGTTTGATATTTAATCTCCATAGTAGTCAGTTCACATTACTTCATCATGGCTTTCTATAATGATTATGAAAGTGAATCTTTCTTGGTTATATATACAATTTTATGTTAGATTCTAATTGGTCTATTGATTGTGCATGATGTTGATTTATTTTATGAAATGATTGGTTAATAATCACTGTCTTTTCTTAATTTTGACGACTACTAACTACTGTCTAGCATTAACATCTAATTTAGGGCATCAGTAATGTCTAAATACTTGTGACCAGTTATCCAATAGTATTATGTATTTTCTGTTATTTTCATTAACTATTTTAACCTATTGCGATAGTAGTAATCTACTTTTTTGTTGTTCTGATGACTCATAAAAAGGTGTACTTTTACCTTAGTTATGATTATCGCATATATTCAGCCACTTCACAGTAGTATCTAGATTCAAAATAACTGCATTATCGAGATACCTCGAATATATTTTGTTTCACAACACTTATCTGTTATCTAGAACTAACACATATCGTTTAATGATTTGGGCTAATTTATTCATTTTATCTAAGCACATATAAATTGGTACAAGGAGGCTCCGAATATATATATATATATATATATATATATATATATATATATATGCCATACAAATCTTCCGATTTGTTTGTATGTGAGGGCTAGGATACTCCCCGTGCGCTCGAGCCGAAGTAGCTGGTCTACTTATGGGGCCAATTCCCGAGTTTTCGCCCTAGAGGTCTAATCCACATTTCAGTAGAGCAACGTTAGGAGATGCGGTCTCATGGTAGCCGGTGACCAGCAATAGGTTCATCCGCCATTTGTTCCCCCATGTGCACCGTTTGTTTGAATTCAGGGTTCTCCAACTCCCCTAGATGGATCCTCTGTATCCACCGACTCGGTTAAAGTGCCGGACATTCGCTTTTTGTCGTTTGAATTTCGTAAAGAAGTCCCCCACCACGAGAAGGCAGTGAGTGGGACACACATGTCATTGGCTGTATATCTGTGGCCATGAAAGAGCATTTCTAGAGGAGGAGCGGATTCACCACTCTCGGCCGTACCAGGGCATTTATTGTTTAAATAAATAAGTCGGGCTAATTGAGTTCAAGTTAGATTATTATTTCCATGAACATTTCAGGTATTTCTTGTTGATTAATACTAACTAGTAGTGCTGCAGGAATTGATGATCCTTGTCATATTCAAATCTGCATCATCCAATGTTACAATCAGTGGAGTTATTTTTTTGTCATTTTTGCTGAAGTTGGCTTCCATAAGATTGAAATGTTTATGTTCATTAAAAATTGATTAGTAACCTACATGTCGTTGCTTGGTGCTTTCGATCGATTTCCATTCTGGCCACTTGCATAGCTTTTATTAAATTTAAATTAAGGTTATCAATGAAATCTACAGCCTGGGTTTCATCCTGTGTAGGACTCGTCACTTGAATATTTCTTCATACCGGTTTTGATGGTCTCAATAATCTTTTAACTCACCTTCTAAACATCAACACGTTAATTTGTCTATGATATACATTCGACAATAGACATCAATCAGTTGCATTCATAAACACTAATACCAGGAAAATCTATAAACACTTACAAGTAAAAACTAGTATAACTTGTTTTTATAACAAAATTGGTTAACTTTTCATAAAATAAATAGACAGAAATTAAAGAGTTTACATCATATACCTGTTTTCCATAATATACCATTCTATATTATTTACTTCATTAAGAATTTTAGAGCTTTTTCTTCTCGTATTTCAATCTCCTCATTTATGTTGTTTTAGTACATATAATAAATTGGTCAAATTGGATAATAATCTCGTCTAGCATTAGTTTAGCATCGGTTACATCACTCTACTTTCTAGAACTATTCTCATTAGTTTAACCAGTCGAATATTTTTACATTTGCTCTCATGTGAAAAAATTGTAATGAATTAAGGATAATTTCAATTCCTTGAATAGACTTTTATCATTATTTTAAAACTAGTAAATAATTATTGACATGAAGTTTATACTGATGTTGAATTTCGAAATTGTTTTATTTCTTTTCAAGTGAATAGCTTGATACATTTACAATAGATCTTTTTTTAAGTTCATTAATAAACCACGTCTGTAAGATTTCCAAGTGTTTAATTCCTTTCATTTGACACCATTTCCCTTCTTTCTTTAATATCAGTGTTGCTTCACATAGTGGAATTAAGAGTAACTTGGTTGAAAATTACATGAATATTCTTGTTATTTAATGTTTATGTTTGAAAAATCAAATAATTGACTATATATGTATATAATATTTTGCGTCATGTCACCCGAATTCCTTAATCAACGGTTACAACTACTTTTTGTATCCCAACTAGGAATTTCTACGTCGTTACTAACAATTTACGTCCCACTCTTACCTTTCTTCCAACTCACATCTATGCCTGCTAGCATTCCACTTCGAGCTAAGCGGTATATGTATGCCCATCTTATCAGTGTTGTACTGTTATTCCGTCATTTATTGTTCGTTATGACAATTTGAAATGACTGTTTTAGCGTATCTTGATATCTTCTGTGCATATATATATATATATATATATATATATATATATATATATATATATATATATATATATATATATATATATATATATATATATTGGTTTTTCACATTAAGTTTGTGATACTCCTGAATTAAAAAAGAACTATCCACTATTTCTACTATTTCGACATCTTGCTAGTTCCGAACCATGTCATTTTTTTTAGTTATCTAAACTTCTTCCCACTAACAAAATTTTTTTTTAAAATTTTTTTTCAATTATTTATTTCGTTGATAAACTTTCTTATTTATTACTTATAAGCTTAATTTGTTGGATGAAGTGTCTTCCAAGCAATTATATATTCAAGTAAGAGTGAATGAGTTTTACATGAAATCTAGATCAATCTGTTTTGCAAAAGATCATGTTCTTTTCTCCTTTGGTTTTGATGTTATCAATAGGTATCATCTAATCATCATTCACGATTGTCCTACCCAGTTAGTCACTAACAATGTGTGAACAACTTCATTGTTTTTTGACTTGATATGAGGTTTTGATGGAAAGTTACTAAGGTGTACAAGATTAACTTTTTCTTATATTTCAGTATTTGACGTAAATATAATGTGACTCATTTACCAATTACAGGGATCTCTGTAGTCATCACACAGTCACTTTATTTGTGTGTAAGGATCTTATGATGTAGGGTTTCTTATCTGCTACCATTAGCCACCATCGTACATCTCAACATAATGCATACGATGTCGAGTCACTTAGACTAGTAGCTACACTACAACCTGATCTACAGAATTTAATTAGCACTAAGAAGAATATGACATACATAATATCGGTCACTGCTCTGTGATCAATCAATTGTAAGTACTATCTATCTGCTTAAAATGCAACCTAATAGTCGGAAACCGAGGTCTTCAAACAAATGAGCGGCTGTTTTACTGTGGGCGGATATTATTATTGAGGTTGGTTTTTACAAGAAAATATCGATATAAGTTCCATTGTTGAAGCCCTATATTTATTTTTATGAAAGTAATTAAAAATATTTCTATTGCATATTACAACTAGCTTTGTAATTTTTATCACCGGTGTCTATTTTTTGGGACATTTGCTTCAGCTATTTCATTTTCCATGCCCTTCTACATCGTCATTCCCGGGATCCGATCGCACAACAAGATCTCTTTCAAATGAGCCCGCTATAAAATTACATGGGAATTTATATTTACCTCATATAGATGTAGATAGTCCTTCCAGGATAACTTCAGGGTCACAGGTGAGAAATTTTAATTTGCATGAATAATCTCTGTTACAATTAGATATACCAAGACTTTGTCGATGAAATTCACATTGATTTTACTCATTTCTGTGTGGATTTGGATATCAGTATTATGGATCGTATACATCGTATTACCGATGCATGGGCAGCTGCATCGGAAGCTGTTAGTCGTTTATCACCATTAAGACCATCTGATTTTAACCATCATACAGAATGGTGTGATACAGACATAAATAATGATATTCCAGTTACAATGAAGTCTGGTCATGATCATCATGCAGAACTGGTAAGTTATAATTTCTCTCTATTGTATGTCGATTTTTGACTAATTCTTACTTAATTACTTGGTTTTGAAAAAGGAGTATTATATATATAAACCAAGAATCCATGTATCTGAACTGTGAAAACAGCTTTTTTAACTAAACTGTTGACAACTCAATCCTGTATACTACCTTTGTTGTGAATTATCCACTAAAGTCCACTTTCAGCTCATATCAGTCAACTTTATGCATGAGATAGTCATTAATTAATTAAATGATAACCTATAACTTGATATTGGGTTATTTCTATTCGTTAAAAATACTGATCATGTTCTTGTCTCCACTTGATACATTTCACTGTTTTTTTGGGATTTAAGTAAATAAATAAATAAATAAATTTTATATTCTGAAAAATAATAATTACAGAATTCACGCCAGTTTACAGGCATGATCAATTTGATATAAGTAATAACGTTAAACGTGCAGAAAACAAACATGTGATAAAAGAAAGTTTTAAGTGTACATGTATTACAGCGATCCAATGTAGCAGTCGGGAATTTTTAATATTTCTTAAATGGACAGCCCGTTGATTTATGGACGGAGTAATTAAAGTCAATTTGTGTGCCAGATCGAATTAATGATAATTATCTACAACTAGAGAAATTAAAACGAAAACAGAGAGCACGGAACAACAAAAAAGTAATTACCAAAATATATTAGTCAGGTCTACCTAAGTGCGTGTGTCATGTGACATAGTGATATACTGTTTGTGTTATTCAAATTAGTTAAAGTTGCTATGGGCAGTGTTGACATATTGACAGCAAGTGGGTGGTTTTACTAAGGGGATTCACTAATAAAGACGGCTAAACATTTAAGGTTCCTAAAATATCACTTGTGGAATGAGATACACTTAAAGGCGCTAGACCATTCAATGCATTTTCAGAAGAACAGTATGCATCGATGCAGCGAACAAATAATGGGAGTGATTTTATCGTGCGGATAGGTTGTGGTAGGTTATTCCAGAGTCTAGAGAATTTACAGGTGAAGTAATTCATATAAAGAGATGATTTAGAATGAGTTTGTTTCACTAGGTAGTTGACCCGTTTTCTAGTTGTTGTTTTAGACTGAATGCTAACACATTGAGAAACACTGTTCAGAATCACTTGACCATTTAGTTTATTATTTTTGTTTTACAATATCAACAAAACACTGCATAAAGTGATTTATCTATCTTATACTTTATTTGCTTTGCTTTTTTGACATTATGTTGACAAATTGTTATTTCTGATATTTACAATTATAAGTTTCCTTGATAGTTTTATAAATCCTTCATTTTTAAATGATACTTTTTTTCTCTTACAACTGTCATTGATTTTTGTCTATTTATGCTGCCAGTTTATTCTTTTCTCTTGAATTTTATTCTGTGTGCTAAATGCTCCATTTTATACTGTCACTAATATTATTACTACTTCTACTAATTTGGTATTTATCATAATAATTTTATCTCATTGTGTTAATATGATGTGGAAACTGGTTTTACTTTTTGATAAACCAAATGACTTATAATAATTATCTTTCTCAAATAATTACGTTTGTCAATAGAAAGTAACTAATTAGCAATAAATAAAATATGTATGTTGCTATTATTGGGTTATATGTGTAATCAAAACATAATTCACCTTCAGCAATACCTCTAGGTGGGTAAGGTGCACATCAATCTTATTTTACTAAGTGAAAAATGGCAAATCGGTTACCGAGACTGTTAACCCCCACTGACTAATTTGGTTGACACGCGTTACGTATACCACCTACTTAGCTGTCATTTAGCCCAACGCATAATGTGACTAACACTAAATCGGTAAAAGAAGATAATGGCTGGCCAGATAGGGATGTGGCATTAATTCATGGAGTCACTGACTGTCTGGTAATATGTTAGTTTCATGTTGGAGACGCTAACTGGTGTAATATGACATTCATAGTTGCATTCCTCCTGGAGCCTTTCTTGGGCTACTGCCGGATAAAGGAGGAAGGTTGGGCATCGGGTTAGTGACCCCATCCCGTAGAAAACTAACCCGCTAAAAAAACACTAACCAGTAACAATAATTCAAACCATTTAAACTCGACCCTGGGAGTTAAAAGGTCTTCATTTAGAAGAGTTATGACGCCTCATGGTGAAAGCCGAGTTCTTTCTAAGTCACGAGGCTGATTTCCCTTCTGACAACTAGATCAACCATTAATTTAAGTACATGGAATGCTCGTACAATGTGGAGGGCTGGGAAAGTCATCCAAATTGCTGCAGAAACAGGACAGTGTGGTTAAGAGAATGCTGGTCGGTGATCTATGCTCCATTGGGAGTAACAGGCGTAAGTAAGTTGCATTGATCCTTTGTTTTTTTTTATCTTAACTTCAGAGCCATCCATTTTTCCGCCCTATTTCCATCATCTTCATGAAATCACAAACACTTGGTGGTACTGTGTATTCGCTGAACTAAATATTTTAGTCCCCGATCTTTCATTTCCATTCTGGACAACACCATTAGCGCCTATATTGTATAGAAATAAGTATTACATCACTTCGTCCCTTTCCTATGAGTCCATAGATTAAGTCTCCATAGACGAGGAAGACAACGTATCACAAACAAGGTCATGAGAACAAAGTGATATATATATATATATATATATATATATATATATATATATATATATATATATATATATATATATATATATATATATAATAAACATATGTTAACTGCTGAAATGACAAATCGTGCTTTCTTGTTTATAACCTCTTTTAGAATTCAGTTAATAAATCCAAAAATTCATTCACACACAACATCCCTCCTTCAACCGATTTTCAATCAAATCAAATAGATTCATTGAGGCATTTTCAGTCATCAACGATTATGACAGTGAAATGTCACAGTTTTGAGCTTAATTTACGCTTTCCTATTCCTATAGAAGCAATAAAAACGGTAAGTTTCATTTAATTTGTGTATGATGCAGAGTAATAATTAGGCTGTTATTCGTTCAATTCGTGTTTGTAATTATGATAATCGATAAAAAGACAAACAATCAGTTAAAAGATCTCCACTTAACAAATATACTAGTTATGATTGTTGTACTTCACGACAATACGAATATAATCAAATCAATATGATAATCTAAAAATGAACATGTTTTACAAGCTTCCCTATCTGTTATTCTTTAACCAATGTCCTTCAGCTTGGCTTAATTTAATCCATATATAACAATTCGAGAAAATGATATATACAAGAAATTAGACACAAATGAATTGTATAGAATAGAAATGATATACGTTTATATAAAAGTTATGTAGCAGTGTTTCAGTGTGTACAAAATTAACTAATAGAACAATTCTAGTATGTAGAGAGTTTCATTTACCCGTTCAATGTAAAGACAAATCAATATGTGTACAAATCATTTTCTTAATGTCAGATAAATTTAAACGTTTAATATTCATTCGTATGAAATTGATCTTCTTAGTAGCTTGATTCGAAGTGGTATGGGAAAATAAATAGCAGTCAAATTTTCCAGATATTCACTTATCTGAAAAATTTATTTATCTATTTCAGGGTCAGCTTTTGATTACTTCACCTGAGGTTTTTAATAATCCATGTCTAAAATCTTTACTATGGTTGAACTGGTGAATACTGTTGATGCAGTGAAACGTATACTTGATTTTCCAATTGAATCACATCACTTTAAAGTTAACGTTTACAACCAAAACATATGATAATTTGTTTTCTGTGAAATAACTCGATAAACATTATTCCATGCTTTTATCATGAAAATCCATAATAACTTGTAAGACTTGAACCATAAATTAAATTCATAATAATTCTACTGGTTTCAAGGATAAGAATAATTTTTTAACGTTTAGTGATGATGTTTTTACTTCAGCAATCCAAATAATCCATTTAATATATGTACTTTGTCTAGTAGTGTTGTTAAGTTCCATGCAACAAATATCGAATCTTCTGTTGACTATCGATTTCTCTTGTTAGTAATCAGTGCAATTCTACCTTACATTAAAGAAGGGAACTTACCTCTTTATTTCGATTTTTTTTCTTTGGTCCTTTAGCATCCCTCTTTTTTTCTCAACTTGATATTCTCTTGTCACTTGTTGTCTAGTCAGTAAGTTGCTCTGTAAACTTTCAACCAACTTTCCAAACCGTAGTCACCACTTTGAAGTAGGGCAGAAGTAAGATATTTCTAGTGATAAATAACATCTCTATCGGTGCAGCCTTTCAAAATTTACTTAAAAGGATTATAAAAGCTTTTCTATAAAAGTGTCGATCGTTTCCACAGCTCTATGAATCTTCTTTTATTAGTGGTGTTGTTTAAAATTGCAAATTTATTGCTTTAAAATCGACAACTCATGTAATCGGAAATACTGTCTATGATCTATTTGTTGAAGAGTTGTCGTTTTTGCTTTATGGTTTCATTCTTTAGTGTGTCGATGAAATTTACAGCTATAATCTAGTTTATTTTTTCAGGTTTTTGATGAAAAAAGTTTTTTCTGTAATGTGGAGGGTTTAAGAAGTAATAACAACATTCAAGTCCAATCAGATTCCATTTATTTACCATCATATTTCTTTTCGAATCATTATTTTCCTTGCATTTAGTATTTTATAACTGACTATCGCTAATATTCGAGATTGCTGATCAATTAGTCTCTTTTACCATGTATACTGTCTACGCTGATTATTCTGACATAGCATTGTGCTAACTACCATTTTGCTATAATTGGAATGCAGAACGTATGTTTCGTCCTACCTAGGACTCGTATCTCAACGTCATCATTAAGAAGTTATATTTTATTCGGGAACTAATGATATTTTAATGTGTTCGATTGTTATGTATCACTTATCACTGTTCGAACTATCAAATGAAATATCATTAGCTTTACCACAATATTATATGCTATGGTTCATCGGCTTAGTGTTTAAATTTGTTTTTGGTTGGATTGTATCATATTTATTATTTTCATTATTATTAGTACTATCATACAAATATTTTTGTGTTTTCTAATTGTTTTAGAATCAACATAAAGCTGAACTCAGTATAAAATTAAATGCATCGATTGTTTACAGCTAACGTTAATTATGTTATATAATATATAGATATATAACACCCCGTAATCACGACATTAATTTGTATGGTCTTTGTAATATGTAACAATGTTTTGTTTTACTAAACTATAAATGTAATAAGAAGTGACTTAGTTAATCAAATAAAATTATAGTTTGACACTCCAGAACATATAATCATATATTATGTTACTGGCCTGTCAAGTTGATAATATGTACGTAATGCAATTACCTCTTTATAAAAAATTCGTAGCTTGGGTTGTTGTAGCAATTCTTTATATTTTATATGGGATAATTGTTAACTAATCATCAAGTATGATTAAAACTAGTGTAAAAATGTGTGTCTTTATGTATTACTTCGATTTATTTCTGGAATCAAATAAATCCATATCAACATTCGTTGTGTTTTCACTAGGCGTCTTCATATTTGGGGTTCCCAGCACCAAGTACAAGTCATTTAAGGATTCACGAGACATAACAGTTTACATATTAAATGATACGTTTAGCTTGGGAATCCCTCATTAAGTTTTAGTGTTATTTCTGTAAACATATCAAAAACTTATTTTCTTGCACACAGTTCATTTTTTTTCCTATTTTCTTAAAAATAGACCTCTGGTCAAAAAATTGCAGAAATTCGTTCAAAATTATGGGGTGCCGGGACAGTATACAACTTGGATCAATCAAATTCTGTACAAAGTATATCATGGTGGGCTAGGACAGTTCGTAAAGAATATCTTTCTATATTTATGAAAAAAATTCGTCTAACTTTTGATAATTCCAAAGAGTCATCCCCGAAATTACAACCATTTGGTAGACCAAACGATCATTTACAAAATGTTACAAAATCTAAAATTTCTTCTTTTAAAAATGGAAAGCATAACGGAAATGAACAGGAACTAGAACTAATTATAGGATCCATATCAGGTGAATAGTAATTTATTTTGCAATAACTTTAATCGCATTTGGCATTAAAATGTTTCCGATTACTTAGCAATAATATGTGATTTTGAGCGGCTTTCTATTCAAACGCAATATTGGAAATTGTTAAACCTCAGGTTGGTTAAGCCTTAAATACTAATAAACTCTATTATTGAATAAATTAAAGGGTCATACGAGAAGGAGTGGAAAGAATTTTCTTATAATTGACATTTTAATCATCAACTGATCAGAATCTTATGTAAAAATTTGATATGAAATAAACAATATTACGTGTTTGTTGTTGTTAGAATGATAACAATACTAATAAAAACGGTAGTTTGTAGGTTATATTCTTCACTGATCGATGTCAATTCGAGTATCGAAGTAAACCAGCAAGCACCTGACAACTGTTTCGTCTCAGCATGATACTTCTCAACCATGCGCACTTATGACCTCATCAGCGACCAAACTTTATAACCTTCAGGTTTTTGCATAGAACATTCAACCATTAGAAACACTAAGTTAGTATCCAGTAATAAAATCGTAACTTCAGTTCAGGATGTGGTATGACGGTCATCCAATGGAGTTGATGGCAGTTGCTACACTCCTGATTTCTCACTAAAACTTCAAGTACATGCTGAAGTAAGGCTCTAGTGATCTGATTATTTCATACACATAGTTCCCTTTATCATTTTGAAAAGAGCAAGAACAAACATTCTAGCAGAATAGCATGAATTCATTTTTATTTCGTAGGTTCTCGTCAGTTGCTTACAACTTGTGATATTTAAAATCATAATTAATGGGTTTAAATTACTTACATAAAAGAGTTTGATTGGAAGTTATATTAAAGACATATTCATATAGTATAGCAAGGGTGTAAATAAATTTAATAGACTGAATATTGTAAATATATACCTTATGTGATGAAAGAACATTGTGACAACAGTTCAAACGGTTAGAAACAAATAAACCTTGATAGGAATAAAATGAGTAGAGTTCAGTTGATAAAATAAGATAGTTGGAATAAAACTCAATGGTGTGATAAATGCAAGAAAGAGTTTAAAGAAAAAGAGAAAAAATAAAGATATAACGAAGGAATATTAATCACCAAGGCAAGGAAAGATTAATAACCATCTCCTTTTGAACGCATAAATCAGGTTTTTGGCGCAACTGCTTCAGCAAACTTCGGAAGACTGGAGTTTGGCTGCTTACTAATCACCTTGAATGATTGTAGGGTATCGACCTGATGTCCTGTATCAAGAAGATGTTTGGTGATTGCACTATTTAGAGTCTTTCTTTCTCTTGTTCTGAGGCTTTTTGGAACATGTTCAAAAAATCTGAGATATGCTCTCCTTTCTGTTCGGCCAATGTAGCTGCTTTGGCAGGTACACGTAAATTTATAAATACAATTGGCGGTAACATCAAAAGGATGCTTATCAACTTTTGATTGAGTTATTGAGCATGTTATTTTATACAGAATTTGAAGTTCGGTCGCCGGATAAGTTCTGGCTAGCGCAGTATTCAATCTCCTGTTGATTGTGTTAGCAACCCCGTCACCTTTGAAGCTAAGACTTGTAGTTATTGGTTTTTTATTGACAGTAATTACTTCAGTATTGTTTTCTTTACGCTTCTTATACTTGTCAATAAACTTTTGTGGGTGAAAGTTGTCTCGCAGGCATTTTTCCACTTTCATCAATTCTTCTTCGAGTTTGTCAGTGGTACATATCGTTTCTGCCCTATAAAATAGTGTTTTAACTAATGCCTTCTTGTAACTGAGTGGACAAAAACTAATGAAATTCAGGTAAAGGCTATTCCAAGTACTTTTTCGGTCAATCGAACGTTGGACTGTCCCGTCTCTCCTACGTTTTATAGCAACATCAAGAAAGTGGAACATGTCATTCTGTTCGTGTTCCATAGTAAATTGTATGTTAGGATGAGCGTTATTGAAGAATTTTAGCATGCAGATTGCATGCTGTTTATTGTTGCACACAATGAACGTGTCATCAACATATCTGGAATATTCCATCGTTTCGCTAATCGTCTGTTTAAGCACCATGTTTTCAAGATACTCCATAAAAATATCTGCCAGAATTGGACCTAGTGGGCTTCCCATTGCTACGCCGTCGATCTGACGATATATGGTGTTATTAAACTGGAATTGAACGTCTGTTGTGCATAGTAATAGTAGTTTTTGAATTCCGGGGCTGGTTATTATCGTTTTTTCAAAGCAGTCCTGTGGAGATTGGTTTAATTTGTAGGTCGTATTCGCAACAAACTGATCTTAATAGGGGTACTATTGAAGACCTATCATATCGGGTAGTCATCCCCTTATATCGTGAATCGTCAAAGTTGGATAAAGCTTTTTAAGTATAAACAGGCCATCTTCGAAATCTTATCGTGAATTAATTGCTTCCGTACTGGCTTAGTTGAGAAATTAACGTGAAAGTTAGCGAAATTAAACGTCGTTTTCATGCATCCGTTCAGTGAACCTGTGAAAATGTCACTCGCTATATCACCTTTGAAATCAAGTCTTCAAATGTGTACTTCTTTATGAATTTGATAGAGTATGAATTTGTTAACTATTATCAACACTCATTTCACTAACGGCTTATACAGATAATCGATAAAAAATGTCTTGTGACATTTGTTTCTTTCACTTTTAAATATATTAGCACTAACATTTGCACACATATCTGAATATAACTATTACATTGTCCGACTTTCAAATCACGTTTAAAGAAACATGTCTTGGATTTAAAATAATTAGATTACTTTGATCTGCCCAATAGTTGTTTTCTTATTTCAGTGAGATCAGTAAATTAAACAGTTCGGATATAGAGGTTTATAAAACTAAATTGATTAAAACCGGCGACAATTCAAGATGTTACAAGTTAAACATCACATCTTTTTTTCGTATTTCCCTCCTTAAAAATAGACAATAGAGTTTTACTTGATTAGTTTCTTTTCCCTTATCATAAATTCTTAAAAATATCAAGCAAGAAATAGATTTTCCAAATTTCAAACTCAGGTATTTTGCATCTCTGCTCTATCACAGATCATCATAATTCTTGTTCACAAATACCTCACTTTCTGTTTCGTTTAATATAATTCTTTTTTTATATGAAGTACATTTGGCTAATGATGATCTAAACATACAATCAATGCCTATCGTATATTTCACAACAAAAATGAATCCTATTCCTGAACCAATCAAGTAAGTGTAATGTATATATATAATCCTAAAAATATATCATTACTTTTTCAGTCACGTTTTATAATAAACACGTTATGATTCGACTTTTGATGAAGATAATGATTTATAAAAGTTGGTTGAGATTGTGCACCTTTTAAACACCGGTTCTGTGCTTTTAACGTTTAAGCTCTCACCATGGTATCTGAAAGTCATGAATCTTAGGTTCGCATTACTGAAAAGTTATCTTGTAGGACGAATTATTTGTCCAGTACTTCTTGGTTTTCAACGATACCTTATTTAAAGTTGATAGATGACAAATACTACCCACTAATTAAAACATTGTCTACAAAACTACTTCATCTCATTACTTTTAATACTTTTATGTGATTAATAAGAACTTTTGTCTAAATTTGATCGAATAGTTTCACAATATTTGAGCACCGAATTGATGTGAAACGTTGGATTTACATCAAATTCATTCGCTGAGATTTCAAAAATACATTCTTCTTCTTTAATGTTTTATTTGATTAGTTTTTATTGTTGATTCATTAAATGAAGTTAATTTTTTTAGGGCTTATAATTATAAGTTGAATCTTTTGACAAATGGTTTGAAATATGCAGTGGATATGTATATTTCTTATTTACAACAAGTGTAATTGTCATCATCTTTAATTGAAGATCTTAACTGATATTATTTAAAATCGATAACAAAGCCTTAGTTGATATTCATGGTTCATATTCCTTGAAATTTTGAGCTTTGTATTATCCGTCTTACTATTTATTCTTTAACCTTATTTATTTTCTGTTTGAAGTATAATTTTTATTTACTTGAAATGAAATCGCATTATATTCAAAACATTCATTCTTATTAGATTCTACAATTAAAGCTTTAAATTATTTTTGGTAAAAGGAATAAATAATTTTTTTAGCAAAAACACTTTTAATATTCTAAATTTATGAATTTTTAAATTGTTTTGTTATTATTGGAATTGTAAGGAATATTTAAATGAACGTAGGATAAGAAAATTTATCTTATTTAAACACGTAATGATTAATATAATGAGGCTCTGAATATGTATGCGCCACACTTCATCATTCGATTTGTTTGCATGTGAGGGCTGGGGTACTGCCTGGGTGTCCAGACCGAAGCAGGTGGATTTTTAGAGGGTCACTCCCCGAGTCTTTGACCTAATGGTCTATTTCACGATACAGTCTAAAATTAACTTTAATGGAACTGTTAGTTTATGTACTTTTAGGAGGTCTTCAAAGCATTGATACATAAACTGGCTTCATTCTCTCCTTCTTTGAAAACATCTGATTGTTGGTGAATCTGATTGATGTTCATTACTTTTGTGGAAACAATGATTTTCAGCTGTCTAAGAAATATTCCAAAGTTTCTTTTCCCTTTCTTCTTAGAAGTTATGAAGTAATTACAAGGTGACATAACAATACTAATAACTTCACATTAACATCCGTAGATTTCGATCTTCAGTTACCGAAATTCGTCAGCATCGTCAAATGAATTTTTTTGTGTTTACTGTTTGCAACCTAATAAATTTGTCTGATTGAATATGTTTCAGTAAAAAGCTTCGATTACAATACAAGGTGGTTTGCAATACCTTACTAGTTCACTGTATTTTGAAGTAAATACTGATTATAGAATATTTGAGTAGTACTTCATCATATACATAATTATATAGTATTCAATTTCATTTTCAGAGTGTATATACGCATATCTCCCAGTGGACAAACTGATCTTGTCGAGTGTGTAAATGAAAATCCAATGAATAAAGATTTTGATGAACAGACAACAACTAGAGAACAACCTGCTCAATTTGAAGTAGGCATTGATCTAACGACCTTTAATGAGTATATTTCATCATCTGATCAATTTTATAATCCAAATAGATCTAATCATGATCATTCTGTTGAATGGTCATTATGGAATCAAGCTAATCCTAAGCAAAATTGTTTTATTCCTTTAGTAGTCAGACAGAACTTTGCTCAAGATGCACCAAGACCTCATTCTAAACAGGTTAGTGATTTCTAGTATCGTATTACTTACTAATGCAATAAAAATGTTTTCATGTGTTATTCATTTCATAAACCGGTTGCTATCAGAAAAATGTTTTAAGAATGAAGTGATTATCTGTCTATTCAACAATAGATTACCTTAATATTGTTTAAATTATTAGTAAAAGCTTAAAATTTATCAAATATTTAAGAATATTAACTTCTACATAACATAACAAAAATTACTTATGAAGTTACCTGATTTCAACTCTATTTAATTTGTCGCTTTTTAAACATGTATCTAAAATTTACTGCGGTAAATTTTTGATTTCGGCATACCGTACGATTTACATGCGCCACCAAGTCCTAAAACCATATCATTTGATAACCACTTTTACTCTGTCCTGTCAAACAGATAAAATTTCTTGCAGAATTATGGTTTTCATTACTGATTGATCATTTTCTGACTCTAACTTTGAATATGTGATAGTGAATCAACGATTCTAAACTGATAACTCATGGATACATGTACAAATTATTGAAGGTATACGAATTGAACTAAACATAAAATCACCCATATTATTATTTTTTTATCACTCTACTATTAAGTATCGATAAACATGTAATTTTTCTTTAGTACTAAGTTTCGTCATATGTGTGGTCTAAGTACCACAGCTATAAAAATGGTTGGAGCCAATCCTTCATAAAATTTAATGAATGTAATGTGAATCCTTTTAAATACATTGATAAAATTAATAAATTTAGAGTGCTGTTAAAAAGATAAAGATATTTTGTCCAAATACTAATTTTATAATGTTCTTGAAACTTTCTAAACTATTTTGGTCACTTATTGACCTAAATTTACCCATGTTTTCTGTACCTATATTAGTCTTGGTGGTACAACGATTATAAATTTAGTGTACAACGTTTAAATACTAGACATGTCACGTAACAACATGGTTTTAGATAAAAACGCGCAACCGTTATATAGTTTTACCTGTAAAATATTGTGAATAATCCTTGTAAATTTATGTTGATCCTCCTATTATTTGACTGAATGGAATGATCACTTCTATTTCTACCCATATGGATTTTATCTCTCTGTTCCACGTGGTATAATGTTCCAACTTGTTTCGATACACTTCTGTGTGATTTAATCAATAGACATATTTATGTATTTCTCAAAATATCAGTCATATGTTAAAATATTGAGTTATGCTATTCTAGTTCTTTGTTGTTTTAGTCTACCTAAATAGATTCTCGTTTATCTTGTTTTCACTGAACTAGTCAGACCTTGTTTTTTTTTAATGTACTTCTCTCAGTGTTTTTATTCGTTGTTTTTTTCTTTATTTAGATAACTTATTACCCTGGTAATAAAGCTCATATGTTCGCCTATCGCCAATCTGCTAGTATGCATACCCACTTATTTGTACACTTTAAAATACCTTTGGCTGAAATCACAATTGAACATAAACAAACAGTAGAACTACTTTGTTTACGGTTAGTTCAACTTCTAAATGTTTATGTTGAATTGATTCCTTGATAAATTTTTGTTTGTTTATACGTACCGACAATAAAATGAGTTCATATTAGACTATAAGCAATGGAATTTATGTCTTTATTTCTAACTAAATTGAAGTGAGTTTTGTCCATAGATCCATAAGAATGCTTTGAATAATACGAATCTTGGAAACATTTAATAAAAATTTGGTTAAATCTGAGACAATAGTTTAGTACTGTGATAGCCAGCAATTGTTTTGCAGTGAGATATCTAGCTTAACATATTTTGTTGTACAATTTTTATAAAACTATATTTACATCATATTAAAAGCGTTTTTTATCTGTGTATAGACGTTAACACTTAGTTATTTTTAGTTGAATTGTCAGTTACTTTGGAGTTCTCCTCTAAAAATGATGTAAACAATCAAGGGATTTTAGAAATCGAAGCGAATTGTTAATTTTCCACTTTTTCAGTGTTGAAACATTTAATTATCCTGTATATTAACAACCGTGTTGGATGTAGGGCAGTTACCCGCTAAAGACAATAGAAGATGACCAAACAATATCGTGGATTGATTGAAGTTAGACACTGACACCATAAGATGCCGGCTCAGTAATCTAGAGGTTGAGCATTGGCATGTGAATCCAAAGGTCTTGGGTTCGGGTCTCATGTGCAGGATCGTGGATGCGCACTGCTGAAAAGTCCCATACTGAAACGAAACGGCAATCCATTGCTTCCAGGTTTTTAATGATGGTCTTACACTGATCGACTCCTCAACTCAATTGAGACTAAATAATCTCCACAACTCTGTACTGATATTAGCAATATGTTCAGTCATTAATTGATTACTATTTCTAGGAAAGATATTATCAAATTAATTCATCACCATTTATATGGCATAATTTTATAGTTGACAGTAAAACCTATGTACTGTCGTAGAGAAATAACTTGGAACTAAATGAAATGAAGTATTTTTTCGTTCAACATGTATTTCTAAATTTGAATCTGATTGTAAATTCTCAAAATATTTTATTGTATTTTTGTATATTAATATGAATCTTTAAGAAATATGAGATGTTGATTTAAATAAAGATTTTACTATCAATTAATAATGTTCAATACTGTTGTTGTCATGAAGTTAACATATTCCAAATAAAATGAACTTTTATCAAGATAATCATATTAATAAGCTTCTATATCTGTTGATTATTTTCAAGTTTTTCTTTTAACGTTGACAATCCATCAAACATTTCTTTACTTTAACTTTTGTATAAACATTGTTTTGTTTTTTGTTTTCAGTCATTTTTATGTGATCAGATTGTTTATTACTTTCTGTTAATCTTCAAATATATATTTATTTGATAAAAGTTATTGACATTTAATTCTTGATATCTCATATGTATTAAGCATTCTTTCTATGCATTTTATAGATTAATGTATGATCTTTTATTATGGCAATCATTATTACCTAATGATCGTCGCCTACGTGCAACATTAAAACGTCCAAATCATACTTGTCAAACAGTAGATAATGTGACAAATTTACAATCGGATCATCGTTATTGGTTTTTAAGTGATCCTGCTCCTTTAGCCAGTATCTATGCTCATCCAGACGCTGCACGAGCAGCCGCTGAACTTGAAGCAATATCACCAATTGGTTATTATAATGTAAATCATCATCCAAGCGGTCTACATTATCATTCAGTTAAAAGTGATGAAGAAGAAGATAGTGATTATGCTGAAAATGATTTAAACGAATTATATAGTAATACTTTTAATATCAAAGACAATACTATTAGCAATCATTACACAAAATATAAGAAAGAGAATGTAAACCGTTTTAATAGTAAAATCTCTTGGTCAAATGATTTACGAAGAAATGTTAACAGTGAGTCATTTTAGTGGTCGTACCTTAAACTGCACATGTTCAATTTATCAATGTTTACTCATTGCACAAACTATTCATACAACTACAGTCCACTGTAACATAGGTTTATATGCTAAGTTTCTATACTTGAATGTTCTGATTGACTGGAATCAAATACTGTCGCCTACATGATGTTTAGTCTTGTATTGGTTGGATTCAGTACGATGATTATATTTAAAGAATCATTGGTTACTCTGTATTCTTCATCTGATATTTTCTAAGTTGCTCTAACTTGGCTGAATGCTCTGCATAGAAATGATAACTCTATTATCAGTTGTTTAGTTTTCTAGTACCTTTTCTGTTAAGGTTTCATGGATCAGTTCTTTGAGCAGTTATTAGTTTGATCACCTCAATTACTAATAGTTTGTCAGGTCACTTTTTTAATAGGATAATTGATTTCACCTTTCTCAGTCGGTAAAAAGGTTTTACCCTATAAGTATCACCGCAATCGTCTACTTTTAAGACGCTTTCATGGAATACATCAATCCATCTTCTTCATACTCGTGATACTTCATAGCTTCGAACGCCTTCTTTGTTTTACTAAAACACTTTAGTCACTTTGCTATTGATTTTCATTCGGACTGTTACAATAGGCTAACAAATTCTGTAAATTAAGCTTTTAACTAGCTACATCTCTTTTCAGTCCAAAATTTGGTTACTTTACACAACACTAATTACTTATTAATTAAATTTGTCAGTGTTTATCACACAATCCATTTTTCTTCGCCCATACTTTATCACTCCCTAATTATTGAGCTGTTATTATTATATTCTTATTAACTAGTTACAATCTGTAACTTATTAAGTAACATCTTGTAAGGACTCGATCCTATTATATTCATAATGTTATGGTTTAGTTGCTTCGTCTTTCATAGTTCTAAAGTCTAATTATTAATAATCCATTATTCTCTGGTTACTTATTAATTTTGTTTGTATATCAATATGTTTAAAATTAGTATGTAATTATTATTCTGAGTTCAGTTTTTTCGATAATAAATTCTGGATATAATCAAAATAGATTTATCTACCAGCGTATTTACCTTGATTTGTTTCTATTCTACGCTTACAGATAAGAATAATATAAATTTAAATCAACACTCCTTGTTGCATAAAAGCCGTCAACGTTGTACTGGTAATCATCGTACTAATAATAACACTACTTACAGTGCAGATCATAAAGTAGTAGGACCATTAACAAATACTTCTGTTCAATTTCAATCCTCTATTTGTTTGCAATTAGATATAAATTCCTTACAATTTACAACATTCCTTCCTGAATCACAATCATCATCTGTGGGAGGAATTCGACTGACTGAAAAAGTGATTATAAATGCTTCTAATACTACATTATTTACTGAGCTTTCGCATAATTCTAATCCGAATTTAAATTATGTTGAAATGGAAGTTGGTGAATTCGATATATCTTATAGTTGTAAGTATCCTATTTGTAACATATTTTCACATTATTCCACTGGTTATTGTTTTTTGGTGTTTGTTTGCTTAGAGTTAGACTAATGCACGTTATTTTCACATGCAGCATTATTTTAACAAAATGTTATCAAAATATTAAAACACTATTCAATAACAATCAATCCATGATAGTCCTGAATTGGTTAGCATGAGCTAATTAACAACACAATCAAATAAGCAAAGTGCTATAACTGTGACAGCAGCAGATTAGAGGGTAGCGAATTTATCGATCGGACCAAAGACGCGCAAACACGTAAGAACGGCTTAGAGTTCTAATTGGTCCAGCTTCCCTGTCTAGCCCAGTTGAGTCCAGAACACAAGTCTCAGCCTCGGAGATATGAATCATATTTCAAACACACTCTGTTTATATACTTATCAAGCAGACCACATCGTACCATAAAATAGAAAATAACGTTGTACAATATTGACCAGTAGGAAAATGATACGTGAAATAAACATTGACGAATAAGGAAATAACACCATCTCAAGTCCAAGGATAGCGTTAGACCTAATAGAATAATTTCTGGGATATTTTTCTGAATATCCCAACACAAAGTAACAGTTAATTAGAATGAGCATATTCTACTAGTTATTACAAGAGTTTTGGTAGTGTATGTGTGGATTTTGTCCACGTATTAACAATTCTTTTATTTGGAACCGAATTATTGTCCTTTCACTGTAAACTCCGTCCATCACTTCATAATTATATCCAATCAACCGTTGAGTTACATGTTTGAACCCAATTGCTTATAGTTCACCATTTGGGTTGAATTAATCAACTACTTGTAAATGTAGTTACTTACTAAATTAAATCAATTCATATTATGTGGTCGTCCATAACGGATACTTTTATTACAACTTCCGTGGGGTTTCATGAAAGTGTTTTACCAATGTTCATTAGTTATAAATTTTTAACTTGACTGAAGTACTTGTAGTTATATTCATATTTAGTTCACTGTTTTATTACATTAAAGCTTCAATATTTTCAAAAGCATTCGAGTTGTTTGTGTTTTAGTCTTATCATCAGTTTAAACACTTTCCACGCTGTTATTAAACCACTAGTGTGGTTTCTAATTGAGCGGTTATGTCATAGACATTTAGTTAGTAGTAATTGAGATCACACCCTGTTCCTACTTCGTTTTCCAATACATATGTAGGTTATTGCCAAGCTTCGTAACTATATAATAATTCATATTATTTTGACTTCATATCTTTCACTAAGCAACATTTCATATAACAATCAACGTACCTACGAATAGAACTCCCAACTGATCATTGGTAATTTGTAATTTATTTCGACTATCGAAACATTTACAACTTTCAGATTAAAATGAGACGGATTAATTTCATTCCTTCACCTGACAAGAAGTGGTTAATATAAGTCTATGAGTGACCAAACGATAACATGACATCAGACTGTGAAACTCCCGTTGAAGCTCACGAAAAAACTATAAACCGTTATTTGGAATAAGACTATCTAGCTAAGAATCGGTGTTCTCCCCTAAGATGTATTCAGCTCTATTATCCTCACCGTTACACTAACAATCATAGACACGTTTGTGTATTTTCATGGTTGTAAGCTTCCCCTTTGATTTTCGCACTAACCCAATAACCTGACATGTTACTATCTTCAAATCGTTTTGTTCTAAGTAGTCTTGTCTTTTAAAACGTAACCAGCGTATTCAATGGTTTTTTTAATGGTGTTCAAAATCCTCTAGGTAGCCAAAATCCGAATTCTGATAATCATAGTTCTGCTGATAACGCTCACCCATCATCATCAGATTCGGCAGCTAGTTTATGGCCAGTTTTAATTCATCTTTCATGGGATTCTATTGGCTATCCATATGGTTCAACACTTCATCAAGTTGGTGTATCTACCGCGAATTCATCGAACGAACCAACTTTTAGCATGGCTTTAGAACATAGACAAATTCATCGTTTATCCGATTCAGGTATAAAACTTGAAGAATTTTGTATCTTTTATTTAATTAACTATTATGTGTACCATCAGGACTAATTCCCAAAACCTTTTTTTAGAAGCACTGTAATTATTACATCCTTGAACTTTTGACAACATTTCACGATGAAGAAACCCCACTAGGCTCTCATCTTAACATTAATAATCAGGTACTCATTAGTGACCGACTTTGAGAAGAATTTCGGAAGTTCTGATAAGAAGCTGTAATCAACGATATTTAATCATCTGTGGCAAAATATTATGATTTTTCAATATTGCTAATTAATTGAAGTTAAAATTATACGTCACTGACCGCTAACTTAACGTTCAAAATGTAAAGTCCCTGCTACTTGATATCAACTTTCTAAACCCGATCCCTGATGGGGTGTTAGGTGTGTGCTGCTAAAAACTCCCAAATTAGAACGAAACAGTTACTTAGCTAAAATTAACAGTCCTCATCATTTATTATGACTTTTTTTCATTGAGTTTAAGCTACAGTTTTTACTGATTCTGTCAAATGGTGCTTAACTATGTGTAATTATTCATACGGATGTAACAAACAAATTGATCTGTTGTATTTGAAAATAATAAATAACTCATTGGATGATTGATTGTTCTAACTACTACAAAAGTCAACCTTAGAAACTTATCCAATATGATTTTTTTCTAAATACATATTATAACTTTACATATCATTCTTTTCTTGTTCTAATTTCCCAAACTTATCATTTTGCTAATATTGGTAAAATGTTAATCAATAACTATGTGAAACTACTTCTGTGATTTGCTCGTTGTCACATCATATTGTACTGAACGTTTTCATACACCCGAAAGTGTTGTTCACGATTTATCACCAAATTTTTTTTCAAAATGAATATATGCTACCATAGTCCTTGCTGACATTAAATAATACACATAATGTTCATATCTCTAAATGAAGTAATTAATGTTGATTAGTAAATCGTCTAACGTAATGTGATAATCTTCAAAAATTTCAAAGCTACTTGAGATTACCTGTCTTTTATTAACAGTTACCTTTTATATACTAATGAGCTATTTCAACTTTATCCACGACAATGGTACAAACAGATAAACATAAACGGGATATATATATATATATATATATATATATATATATATATATATATAATCATTTCTTTTCCTTTTTTATCAAGGTAATTCAACGTACGATGATGAATTCATTTTGACTCTTCGAATTCAAGAGGTTTGTTTTGTTTATTGGCCACTATTCAGTTTAAATAATCGTTGGGATATTTATTCAAATATTGGCAATCCCAATTTAACAACTCCAGTCAATTCTTCACATTCTACTACTACCACTACTAATTTTAATTATTTAACAGGTTTACCGAATTGGTTTATTCGATTTTGTAGTTTATATCAAACTCCTAATTTATCATTCATTACAGAAGAATATCCGAGTTATTATGCACCAGCTTGTCTATTCTCTCAACATTTACACTTTGAACATTTAACGGCTACATTTTCAATGCCTTACCCAGAATATTTTATCTTGTCAACAAATAGGCCGACTTCTGTAAATTATCAAATGCCTATTTTACATTTTATGATTGGTTGTGAATCAACTAGTATTACTGTAAATACAGCTATGGAAATGTTGACATTTTGTTCATCAATAAATAATAATAATCAAGTCGATATGCAACCTGGAATGTTAGTTATGGCATTTATTAATAATCTGGCCATATTTGTATTCCCTTTTAAATTTAATGTAAGTTGTTGATTTTTTTTTCAAATTAAAAATAATAAATAAACTATTTTCTGTTGGATACAAAAATGGTAAAGTTTATGATTATTATTAATGGCTTTATTCAATATTATATTTTAGTACAATATAGAATTCTCAGCACAGGGTATTTCAACAAGTTACTTACGCAACAAAAAAACAGTGACAAAGACAAAAAACAGGAAAAAAAGGTTTTTAAAATATATGAAAAATTGTACAACTTTTTAAATTAAAGACATGTTAAGAATGCAGACTATTGACTAGGTTAACTCTAACAACCTGTTCGTCACAGAGTATATTTGCCAGATAAGGTATTATAGAACTTTTATACTTTTGCTTGCGTGCATGGATTTTAATGTAATTACGTCTCGTTCTACCAGAAGATATATAAGGAGAAAGATTAGAGTGAAGGGGATGGTTAGTATCTGATAAAATAACATCTGCCAGGAGTTTGCATGACTTTAGATATCTATCCACAATCATATTAATTGTGACCTCGAAAGATTCACCACACATCTTGCTAACTGCCTTCAGCACTCTCCGCAATACAACAAAGTTTTTTCTCAAAAGCCCGGGAAAGAATAATGGAGAACAGTAAAGAATAATAGGTAATATGCAGGAATTGACAAATTGTAAGAGTAATACCAAGAGCATGCAATCTCTTAATGTAGTAACTCAGACGGAAAACCTTCTTCGATAACAATAAAACATGGGAAAACCAAGAGAGATCAGAGGAAAAGGTAACGCCAAGATAATTGATCTTCGACACTGTGTTTATCAAAGAGTCTCCAATGGCACAAGCATTATGGGATCTCAAAATGGTGTTTAGATTCCGTTCATGTCTCATGCTAAAGTTAACAGCTTCACATTTAGACGGATTAAGTATGAGACCATTACCAACAGACCAACAATCAATACGAGACAAAAACTCATTCATTTCTATGGGATGTAAAGAGGAAGAGATAGGCATACATACAGTGAGATCATCCGCATATTTCACAAAAGTGTTTTCTGTGGAAGATGACAGATCATGCAGAAAAAAAGAGAAAAGAAGAGGTGGAAGAACAGCTCCTTGTGGTACACCTTCATGAGACAGTAGAAACTCTGAACACTTTTCTCCAAATACAGTGTACTATTCCCTTCCAGAGAGGTAGGAACATAGCCAGTTGGTTATCCAGTTGTCAGTGTTGACGCTTATTAACTTGTTAATTAGACGTTGTCTTGGTATAGAATCAAAAACTGAAGTATTGTCCAGAAAAGCGCATCGAACATACTTCTTACCCTTTTTTAAGTTGAACACTTTATTGTGATGCAGAACAGCAACAGCATTGATAAGAAGTGACTATCAATTAGGATAAAGTCAAAAATGTTTATACTTTAAATTTTTATCCATGCTCTTTGAATTGTTTTGTTTTGTTACAACGACATAGAATGTCCTACTATTTTCTTTTTCACTAGAATTCTAGATTAGTAACAAATATAAACACACATTTTTAACGGATAATGATTCTACATAGTTTTAAACTAAATATGATCTGTTATTTCGTGAAATTCAATGAGATATCAGGTATTGCATGAGTGTAATCAATTGTATTTAACCCTCATTCATGTTGTGTATTTTGATACGTTTATTGCATTTGTGAAAGCCTGATTTGATCTAGCAGTAAACAATTACCTATTCCTATTTTTATTCACAATTTATCAACTTATAATAATTTTTTTTATTAATTTTATACAGTAGATAACAACTTACAGCTTGATTAGTTCTTTTATCTTTTATGGTCTCAGTTTATAGTTTTCAGGCTTTTTGAATTCAAATATGACTGGATTCTTTAATAAAGTCCTATCACAATTCCCACCACGATAATCTTAAATAGCTATATCGACTTAAAACACCATAAATGAGTGAATCGATTCGAATAACCCTACTGTTTATAAGTAATATTGCTAAGGCCCCTATCATTCAATCAGTGATTTATCTTGTTTTCCACTTGATCTTATATAAATTCTTCTATTTAATTTGTCATTCATTTAAGCCAAATTGAAGTTGATGAATATATCAATTAGAACAAAATTAACCCTTTATCCGCATATTTATCTGCTTAAATTCTCACAAAACGATCTATTTTTAAAAGTTGTACAGTTGACTATAATTGTAAATCCAATCACTATGCTGATATTCTTTCTTTAAACTCAATTTCGTAGGTAAATTTACATGTCTATTGAAACTTTTAACACCTCAGAAATTGTGTAAACGAATAGAGTGAACTAAATGACTACTTTCATCCAACACTATTCATATATTGTATTTTAGTATTTCACATCCATTGATTGCTTAATAAAACTGAATGAATAACACTTTTCTGAAGAAAAATAATACAATATCATCATTATTTTGCTCTTCTAACATTTTTTTTCTTAACTTCAGTCAATCAATCCAAATTCATTGAATCCTCGGTTATGTGATATCAATTCTTCTCATCCATTATTAATTAATTTTCGTCATTGGCTTAGTACATTCGATTTGAATAAAGCTGTTTGTATAGCAAGCCTAGATCATTTGGAATTAAAATGTTTTTCTGAGCCAATTATTATACCAAATGCAACTGTAAGTTTATTTAATCGATTTCGATCCACTTATGTTATTAAATCACTTTTCGGGGGTGCATGAATTAGGGGAATTATTTAGTAAATTTCTGTTTTATATATAATTTGTTAATATTTCCATAACGATTTGTTTTTCATTTTGTTCTTCAAGACATTGCATTTGAGTGTTAATTAATCGTCGAATTTCGTACTCAACGGAATAGAGATCAAACGCTAGTATTATTATCTAGCTGCTCAAACCGAATTAAATAGAAATGAATTCAAACATCCAACCTACTTTTTGAATGACGAGTAGATTCATCGCTTTACACATTCATCATATGATAATTAAATTAAAGATTAGCACTTTTACAAATAAGCTTATTATTCCAATAGGATTCGCAATACCACGGCACATTCTTTTAGGTAGTTCATAATTTATCTTGAATACTAGATAATAATTATAAGAATACTATATTTCAAAATACAAAGTTGTAGGTATGAGGAAAGAAAGGAATTCATTCAGTTTTAATGTGGAAATCAAGAATGTAAATTATTCAACTGAAGAAAAACGTCATCAATAGCGACTAAAAACAATTCATTTAACCTACCTTGAATTCATTCATCTGAACATAGAATTAATGATTAAAAAGCGAATACCTTGTTTACTTATTGTTCTGACATTATATTTGTTTTATGTACTTGGTGAAGGTAATTTTAAAAAGAATTAGATGTAATAATATACCAAAAATAGTCGATACTTGCCATACACTACTAATTTACAACTGAATATCTAAAAATAATAACTCATATTGCATTTTAATACATGAAAAATTAATTTTCATAGTGTTAACGAGATGCTGTCATCATATAAGTAGGCTTTACAATATAGTAAACTCATTTTCTATCAAGAAATCTCAATTCTTTGGTTTTCTTTCTTGTGACTATTCTAGTAGACTAAAACCTGTAGGATGATAATTTGATCCTCATTGGATAATGAAACTATCGATGCATCGAATTGTTCTTATGACCGAATTTCCGTTAACATCGATGGAAAATATAGAAAAAATATCTTAGAGACTGACTAATAGTTTAGCATTAACTTAAAATAGGTTTTTCAACTACGTTTTTTTTCAACAATATGAAACAGTTATAGATTTGATAAAAACATGAAATGTATTTGTCATATGTCATTGTATAACAATAGTATGTATGGCTGTTGAATGTGATGTGTTGGCGTTAATGTTTACCTATTTCAGAGTTTTTGTTATCATGAGTTTATATTAAAATTCAGAATTTGATAACTGTGAAATTATGCCTACTTTAAAAATTCCATAGTGTTACTAAAAATGACAGTGTACGTGGTATATGGTTTGTTAAAAAATTCTATTTCTACTGGCTTTTTTAAATGCCATTCTTCCCATAATTCTGTAAGTTGTTCCTAAATAGCATTTTCAAAAGTCTGGTGATTATGTTTGAAATCAGTTCCGTATGTTTACTACCTCTAGTAATTACTGTTACCGGATTTACATGATGTTGTATAGACAATTTTGTCATTTACAAAGTAGTCGTATTGTTTTTGAATTTATAACAGTCCATATACTTTCTTTATTAAATTGGTGCTTACTTTTTATGTCATATGATCCTATCCTGTGTCTATCTAAAGAGCAGTTTTATTATTACAAAATATATGTAAATTAATTATAAACTCCGAACTCATGAAGTATCTGTAGAAGTTAACAGAGATTTACGTGCGAAAGGAAATTTTTCTTTCATTAGTTGTATAAAGATTAATTACAGCATATGATATCGTAAATGACCGCTGTTAGCTGCGTCTAAAGTCAACTCTAACCATCAGTAATTGAACGGAGACTAAGAGCACAAAAATATGGAAGTTGTTGCGTTTAAAACAAGATATAAAAACTGCATATAAGCTCAAATCAATTGTTACAAAAGTTACAAAAACTTAACCGCAACAATGGATGAATTGAACATTATTAGTTCATGTAAATACACGACAATATTACAAATCATCTTTACGTTAAACTGCATGCTCTAAAGTTATTAAGAATGAGACAGTTTACTCAATATTAATAAGTAGTATTGAGTAATACACAAAAGGAAGTTGAATACGAGGAGATTAAGGACAATGAGTGTAAAAGAACTTGACAATTATTTTGATGCTGCAATCAGTTAGTTTCCATTACCATATATACATCTTAAACAGACTCTCTCGTTATGTCCTTCTTTTCACAAATTTTATTAAATTTGAACTGTATCTAAATGTAAAATATCAAAGGGACATATCGTTTTATTTAAGACTCAGCTGGATGTTAACAAGCAAGTTAGCGGTTACCTGAATACATTAGTTATCGGGTTCAAATCTAAGTTGAAGCATTAGCATTTGGATCTAGTACACCCAGTTTCACGAGTCCCAAATAGGACAAAACGAGCATCGCAGATTTTACTGTAAGGCACTCATTTAAAATTTTAGAAACGCGGATATATATTGCCGAATAACTACGTCCTGCTTTCATATCACTATTGGAATAATTAACTCCATTCCTCTCCTCATTATGTTAATTTCCCCTTATTTTACTATTCCAGTTTAACAACTGGGACTACAATGTATTCACGTCAAGACTTACATTGTATATGACTAATTGATTCACAACATAAAATACGTATATACTGATATAGTTTTTTGAGTCTTCTAACTTGTTATTAAATATTTTTCAAACAGTTTTCATTAATCAACTCACACCAGTTTTCGTCGCTTTATTTCTCTTAATCATTTTAGGATGATAGTAATAGTAGTAGTAGTAATATTCACCGTAGTAAGTCTTCATTTACCTGTCAAAATTCTGCAATCCCTACTACTACTACTAATCGATTCGATATGCGTATTACAAATAACCTATTGAAAATTAACACATGTGCTGATATTTTAGTCATTTTACATAAATTCGTTGAATTATTAACAATATATGATATGAATAATTATAATACAACTACTCCTTCACCAACAATGCATTCATCACCAATCCATGTAAAGAATACATCATCATTAAAACTAGATCCAACATTATGTCCACAACTTCATGCATCAAGTCCAATTCCATCTGGTTCAGCTTACTCGGTATGTTTCTCTCTTTTTTCTACTTGCTATTTAAAAATTAGGCGTAAATTTTTTTGCCCAGTTTATCTAGTTAGTTTGCTGGATACTTAAAAGACCAAACTGTGACACTTAATTCTGGTGAATATCATCTGATGGCCAATAGTTTCTTATTTATTCATTCCTTGAAAAAAAAGTTCTTCATAAGATTGTAAAGAGATTTTTTCTTAGGTAAGGAGTGTTTTTAATAATATTATGGTATGGTTCAGTAATTTAAATACTTCCCTATTTACTATTGCACCGTTAATTTGAACTTGTATTTCTCACTTATTTAACGTCATATCATATGTTTCCACATAAATTATATGTTATTCATACCTTCTAGTATATAAATCTTTGTATAATGATCTTTTTTCCTTCATTAGCCGTTCTTATTCAAATTCTAGAAGTCTTTATTTCAATCGTGAACTATCCCCAAAAGTAATTCTGTCCAAAGTGTTAGTCAATAGCTGACACGTTTGTAACGAATATTTCATATAAAACAGAAATTAATTTTCAAAGTTGATCTAAACCAATTTCCTTAGTTGTATAGATTTGAATTTGTTAGACATGCAAAGTATCGTACATTAGTCTTGGTAAATCACAATATACATACTATTTATATAGTATCCGGTAGTGTTGAGAAAGAATTTCCGAATCATAAGGAAAATCGTTCTTGATATCTATTCTGTTCAAAAATCTCACGAACTTTTAGTGTTTAAAAAATTGGGATTGCTTAGCGTTACACAACAATAAATTGAGTTAATTCGTTTCTGTCTTATTCATTTAAATAACTTATTTGTATCAAAATAACTAATATCGCTTAAATCGTGATTTCATATATACTTACTAAACATTCGAGTATGAGAATGTTTGCTTACGAAATATAGTTCTAATTGAAGTTAAGAAATAGGATAAAAGTGTATTTTGTCGCCCCATAATGTTATTGAGAAGAAAAAAAGGGATCGGAAGTAAAATCCCGTCCATCTACTCTTACTAAGTTATTTATCAGATTTGTTTCAACACTGATATCCCATAGAATACTATTCCAAACATAGACCCGCTTATCAAGTGTCTCTCTGATGAGACGACCCAGCTTTGTTACCAAAATAAAAAGTCAACAATACGTCGTATCGTAATTGGCACAGTAATAGAGAAGCTTGTAGTGATAAGTTAGAGGATGCTTTTATTGAACAAATAAAATGTTTGTATTTTATTTTAAATAGTGGATAATAGTAAAATCCAAGGCAGAGGTTTTGTTTTAAAATTCGTCAAATGAGTTCTCTTTCATTCCAATGATGATCCATCTTGTAATTAAAAATCCAAAGAATTATAAACCCTTGCAATAAGTTGTATATATGCTTGTGGTATTTTTAATATAATACGGTAATCTATGAACTATAATTGTTAATTATAATCGTTAAACGCTTGAAGTATCATTCATCAAAGTCTATTATCATTTGCTGTCTTTATTTTAATAATACAACGATAAGTAATCTTACAACGATATATATATAAAGTGATCGATTTGAGTTTTATATCATTATTTCAGAATCCTTTTCGAAATATACTCGATGATAATCAATGTAAGAGTGGTTCAGTTAGTAGCCTTGATCTTATACAAGATGCAATTTCTGATGTAGATTCTGTGAGTGATTAATTTTCTATTTTATTTTTGTTCTAGTTTTTCTCTCAGTCAACAATATTGTAGATCAGATTGTTACTGTTTTTTTATCAGAATAATCTTAAATATATATTTCTAAAATTAAATTCTCGTATCAATACAATACATTTACAGATGATAATTAAAATATTCACGTTCCACTTAAAATCACGTATCCATTTAATTCTCTGGTACGCTGAAATATCTGGCACTTAAATTATTTTTGATCTAAAAATTGGTTATTACTACAGGTCTGATTGTTGTTTCTTCATTTAACTGTCATTTTGTTTAGTGTATATAGCTCCTCTTGGAGTCCCTGTGGGGACTACTGCCGGTCCCAAGCCCGGATAAAGGAGGAGGGTTGGGCATGAGGTTAGCGTCCCCATGCCGCAGAAAACTAACTCGCTAAAAAAACGCTAGCCAAAAAAAATTATTCAAACCTTTTAAACTCTGCCCCGGGAGTCAAAAGGTCTTCATTTAGAAGAACTATGACGCCTCATGATGAAAGCCGAATTCCTTCGGAATTTACGAGGCCGATGCCCCTTCTGACAACCAGAGCGACCATTTATTTAGGTACATGGAATGTTCGTACAATATGGGACACCGGGAGAGCCTTCCAAATTGCTGCAGAAATGAGAAGATACAACCTAGAGGTACTTGGGATCAGTGAAACACATTGGACGCAAGTTGGACAACAACGACTAACTTCAGGAGAGCTTCTGTTATACTCCGGTCATGAAGAAGAAAATGCCCCACATACACAAGGAGTTGCATTGATGCTGTCCAAACAAGCGCAAAATGCGCTTATAGGATGGGAATCTCATGGACCAAGGATCATCAAAGCCTCGTTCAAAACAAAGAAAGAGCATTTCAATGAACATCATCCAATGCTATGCACCTACCAACGACTACAATGAAGACGCCAAAGACCAATTCTACAATAGGCTGCAGTCAATCATCGAGAAGTGCCAAACAAAGGACTTGACCATTCTGATGCGAGACTTCAATGCTGAGGTTGGAATGAACAACACTGGATATGAAGACATCATGGGACGACACAGACAGGGAGAAAGGAACGAATATGGTGAGAGATTTGCAAACCTATGTGCCTTCAATAAACTGGTCATAGGCGGCACCATATTCCCACATAAACGCATTCACAAAATCACACGGACTTCACCGGGTCACACCACGCAAAACCAAATCGACCATATCTGCATCAATGAAAAGTTCAGGAGGACGGTGGAGGACGTGAGAACTAAGAGAGGAGCTGATGTAGCATCAGACCATCACTTGCTGGTCGCCAAGATGAAATTGAAACTCAAGAAGCACTGGACAATGGGGCGGACAATAACACAAAAGTTCAATACGGCCTTTTTTCAGGATACTGACAAACTCAACAAATTCAAGATAGTCCTCAGCAACAAGTTCCAGACCTTTCATGATCTACTCAGTGGAGAAGGAACTACTATGGAGAGCAACTGGAAGGGGATCAAAGAGGCAATCACTTCAACATGTCATGAGGTCCTGGGGCACAATCACAAGGAATGGATCACTGTCGATAGACTGGATAAGATTCAAGAAAGGAGGAACAAGAAAGCATCAATCAATACCAGCCGAACAAGAGCAGAGAAAGCAAAGGCACAAGCTGAATACACAGAAGTAAACAAGCAAGTGAAGAGGAGCATCAGAACTGACAAACGTAAATATGTGGAAGATCTAGCAATGACGGCGGAAAAGACTGCAAGAAAGGGAAGCATGATAGAACTCTATGACATAACAAAGAAGCTCTCTGGAAAACGCCGCAAAACAGTACGACCAGTGAAAAGCAAGGAAGGCGAGGTAATCATCAACATTGAACAGCAACGAAACAGGTGGGTAGAACACTTCAAAGGACTCTTGAATCGACCAGCCCCACTGAACCCACCCAACATCAAAGTAGCACCCACAGACCTCCCAATCGATGTTGGCCCACCAACAATTGAAGAAATCAGCATGGCCATCAAACAAATCAAGAGTGGCAAAGCAGCAGGACCAGACAACATTCCAGCAGAGGCACTGAAAGCAGACGTAGCGGCAGCTGCAAGGATACTCCACATTCTCTTCAGCAAGATTAAGGATGAGGAACAAGTACCAAAAGATTGGAAAGAAGGACTTCTGATCAGAAAAACGAAGAAAGGCGATCTCAGCAACTGTGATAACTACAGGGGCATCACTCTTCTCTCAATTCCGAGAACAGTCTTCAACAGGACAGAATTCCGTAAGGATCAATCGTGTACAGACCGAATCGCAACTCTACGGATCATTGTGGAACAACAATTGAATGGAATTCATCACTCTACATCAACTTCATTGACTACAAAAAGGCATTTGATAGCGTGGAGAAGATTTGGGAGATGTTATAACCTTTACATATCTGGGCAGCATCATTGATGAACACGGTGGATCTGATGCAGATGTGAAGGCGCGGATCGGCAAAGCAAGAGCAGCATATTTACAACTGAGGAACATCTGGAACTCAAAGCAACTGTCAACCAACACCAAGGTCAGGATTTTCAATTTAAATGTCAAGACAGTTCTACTGTATGGGGCAGAAACCTGGAGAACTACGAAAGCCATCATCCAGAAGATACAGGTGATTATTAACAGTTGTCTACGCAAAATACTTCGGATCCCTTGGCCGGACACCATCAGCAACAACGTACTGTGGGAGAGAACAAACCAGATCCCAGCGGAGGAAGAAGCGCTGGAAGTGGATAGGACACACATTGAGGAAATCACCCAACTGCGTCACAAGACAAGCCCTCACATGGAATCTTCAAGGCCAAAGGAGAAGAGTAAGACCAAAGAACACATTACGCCGGGAAATGGAGATAAACATGAGAAAAATGAACAGGAATTGGATGGAACTAGAAAAGAAGGCCCAGGACAGAGTGAGTTGGAGAATGCTGGTTGTCGGTCTATGCTCTATTAGGAGTAACAGGCGTAAGTAAGTAAGTAATATATCTGTTTCATTTGGCTATGATCTATAATCTATGTACAGTCAGACAAAAGTGTACGTCAGTTTAAGTTGTTATATCAAATTAGTAAGATGTGATTAAAATAACAAGACAAGCGGTAAAGGACATCGATATAATCTAATAGCAATAATACTGAGGAAGATTAAGAATATAGTTCGATATTCTGAAAATAATAATTACAGAACGCACAGTAGTTTACAGGCTTCATAAAGATAGTAATATTAAATGTATACGAATATGGAGGATCCATTTAGAGGAGTTGAATAACCCTAACTCCATACCGATGGTGCACATGGGCTCCAGGATCCTAAGGAAACAAATGGCGTGTGAACTCATTGTTGGTCAACGGCTACCATGGGACTGCATCTCCGAACGTTGCTCCACTGCCTTATGGATTAGACCTCTAGGTTAAAGACTCGGGAAGTGGCCTCCTAAGTAAACCACCTGCTTCTGTTTGGGTGCCTGGGGAGTATTCCAGCAGTCACACAAATCGAATGGTTTGTGTGGCGCATATATATATATATCTGGTGCGTCGTTGTACTAATGTTTATGTGTTGAAATAAATAGATAATGTGACATTAATTTGTTTGAAGTGACCTAGTTACCAAGGTCGGTGTTAGTGTAAAGTATCTGCAGGTAAGAAGGTTTAACTAGTGGGCTCAGTAATAAAAACGATTCAACACTTAAAAAATCTATGATCTTACTTGTGAAACGGAATATACTTACAAGCGCAGGAACTTTTAAATCACTTTAAGCGGAGAAGTAAGCATTCATGTAGCTAAAAAATAGTTGAGAGTGATAATACTTGACATTAATGTTTAGCAATTAATATGTGATATATATCATTGTAATTCTCTGGCATAACATTTATAGCTCAGTCAGTCAGTAATAACGTAGAACTTCGTATGTACGTACATCGGTTCGAGTTGCCATACCACATTACAACAGAGATGCAGTTGTCCATTCATATCCCGTAGTGGTAGAGGTGGTAAGAGTATAAGCAGTAATCGGAAAGATTAGGGTTTGAAGATGTTATTCAAGCAGTATAATCCAGTGAAATAAATTTGAAAAGAAAAAAAAGAGACAAGAAGAATTCAGAAGATTAGAATTTGGGAGAACACAAAGGGTGGATGCATTTGCGCCATTGCAAACGATTTTGAGCCATGTCATTCAAGGTCTCTAACAATCAGTTGCTATCGTCTCACGGACCCCGATCAGGTAGTCTACACCTACCAACATGGCTCAGTCCACTTGTCAGTGACTTCATGGATTTGTGCCATGTTTTGGTCTGGCCGCCCCTAGCTTCCTTCCAACCTACTTCTACACCATAAAACATCGCACGTCGAGGCAGTCGGTCGTTGGGCATACGTAACACATGTCCCAGCCATCTCAACTGATGAAGTTTCACTACTTCATCAATTGATTTTCCATCCTTACCTAGTACCCGTTTCCTAACAACTGCGTTACTTACTCGATGGTCCCAGGATATACGAGCAATATTTCAAAGACACCTATGGTCAAATACTAGTAACCTACGGATATCCTCTTCTCTTACCGGCCATGTTTCACTGCCATAAAGTAGGACGGAACGAACTGCTGCACAGTAAACCCGTCCTTTGGTTGATAGACGGATATCTCGCCTACGCCATAAATGACGCAAGTTGGAAAAAGCTAGTCGAGCCTTCTGTATCGGTGCTGAGATTTCGTCACACACCAGACCACAAGGGCTAATGATCGTGGATTTGGACAACACCTTGTTTTGCCACCCGTCAAAGATCTACGTTTATTTGTGCACATCTATTAACCTGAAATTATTTCATGATGACTAACGAAATATTTGAAGTGTTATATCTCTTTAATCGTATTTATGTTGTTATGTATACTCGTCAGACTGAACAAAACATCTTTCCGATGTAATAATGGCATATTTTTCTCTTTTCAGGTTCATTCATCACCATTTAAAATTGGTAATGTAAAAAGATCATCGGCTGTGGATATTCCTTCAAATATCTTACAAACTTCCAGTAAAAACAAAGAATCATTAACAAGAAAAGTAGAGAAAAAATTAGCTATTAACACTTGTCCAACTCCCCAACCATGTCGTACTGTACATAGTAGTAGTAAAAGGAAATCGAATACTTCAATAAATAATGATATAAAATCATGTAGTTCTAGTCCTTGTCCCATTAATACTTCTAATGATGCTACGTCTATGAATGATAAAAGTAAAAATCAACTATACTTAGATCTATCTGATCAATTGAAATCTATGTCAAGTCGCTCACACAATTCTGGACCATCAAGTCTTTCTGATGATTTTGTTTTCATTGATCCATCCACTGTTCCAGTATTGAATTATACAACACCAAAAGAAAAAATTCGTTGTTTACTTCAACCAACTAAACAATTGTCGAGCCCCACTATCACTACTAATGATCAAACTTCGTCACCATTGATAAGTTTTGATATTCATGAAAATTTCTACTCTCCACCTAGTTCCACTACAAATTTTAAAAATTATCGTGCTAACCGATGGAATCGTTTATTCATTGATCCTGTTAAAATTTATCCACGTCCTTTATTAGCTATAACATTGTATGATTTTTCATGTGAATGGAATATATATGGTGGCAATGATTTGTTACCTACTTCGTCAGCAGCAACAACTCCATTGTTAGGTAAAAGAATCCTGTATTTTCTCTTGTATATGAATATTTAGGTCGATTTGAACATGTTAACTTATTTTCAGATTATTAACATTAATGTATTTCAACGATGCTTATTTATTTAACCTATTCTAAACATCTTAGTAAATAAACGATACTTTCTAAGGTTATGACTGCCACGGTACTCTAATTAAAGCGACGTGACAATTTATAATTTCTATTTCTCTCATTTTCCAGTAGATACTTTTATATAACACTAGAAATCCTCTTTGTCTGTTTACAGGTTTATGTACTAGACTATGTAAATATAACAATGATACTAACCGACTATCTATGCCAAAGTTTAATAGATTTCAATCTGCAACATAAACGTATAACGAAATTAAAACAAGGATAGTTTTTGCTATAGATCGCTATACAAATCGAAGTAAAACTAGCTTAGATTTTACTCAGTTTAAATGTGCACTAATTTGTCAATGTTGTATTGAACTAGTAAATTTGTGATTTGATTCTTATTAAAGTTATATTAATTCTAAGGTTGTTTTCTTTTCAAACTAATAGTTCATTACAAACAAAAAGAACTTAGTTATTCATTACGTCTTATTGTCAAATTCCTTAATAGTACGTCTATTTGATCTCACACATGATTAAAGGATAATACTCAAGTTTCCTACCAAGTCCTGTACCATTTTAGTTGTTGAGTTCTTATCCAGTTATTTACATTCATTAAGTTAAATTAGTAATAACAATTCCTTTGAATTAGATTTCTCATTATCGTAATGTAAAGTCGGCCGGTTTTTATGAGTCATCTGTGTTCTCCGGTCTGGACCCTGTGTTGCCTACCTTAGTTTTAACAATTGAGCAGTATTATTAGCTTTCACATATAAACTGGGGCTCGAAACCGAGTACATGAATCTTTACTTGGTTGTCAAGTTTCTTGAATAGCCTAAAGTTTAGACTTGTTAACCCAATCGGTTTCTACTCCATTTCCCACCTTCTAGTTAAATTTTCACTAGGTGTTTACTGTTGGAAATCTATGGATCACAAGAAAATCATATCCTTTTGTCCTTCGTCTTCGCTTATTATTAAACTTGATTGCGTTTCTCATTTCTCAGGCAATATCCCATCCAATGAGATATCTATCCCTGTTCCACCACATAATAAATCCCCAGTGCTATCTTCCTCATCACCACTCAAAGATCCTACTCAAAAATTAATAACTCCATCTCGTTCAAATGAATCACTTCTAACTAATAAAAGTGCTACAAATATACGATCTGGTGGGAATATTTCACCTAATCAAATGTTAAAATCCTGTCCTAAACCTGGCTATCGTTTTCGTCATGGTCAACCGCTTATTAATAAACCAAGTAGTAGGGGTAGTGTCGGTGCCAGTGGTCCTGTTCGTATGCATTCGAATGATTCACGTTCGGAAAATATTTCGTTACAATCGCCCAAAGATTCAAAAGGTATCCGTTCTCGTTTAACATTGTATTCACAAGGTGGCCCAGGACGTCAGCTTGATAATGTAAGTTTTACTTCTTTTCAAATATACGAAAGTTGATATCCATTTTTAGTAAATAACGTTAATTCTGTTAACTTATTCTTGAGAGCCTAGAAAAACTCCGTTCAATCAACACTCAATGGAAACTCTTCAAAAGCTCCTAGCAAAACAACTTTCGTCTCATGTGGTGTAGGCGAGTTGTAGCTCTGCCAACCAAAGGATACGTATACTACACACAGTTTGCTCTGTTTTAGTTAGTGATTTTAAAATGTGTCCTTTAAGAGCAAAGGATATTCGTAGACTACTAGTACTTGACCACGATACCTTCTCATAATCAATGGTTATTGACTCTGTGTGACATGGCTTACAATCGATCACAGTGGCGTCGGTGTATACAATCTTTATCTGCCCTTAAACCGCGAGATTAAAATTGCTTTATACCTTTCTTTCTGTGAACTAATTCTTTATTCCTGTATTATATCCTTGCGCACAGTCTTCCTTTTATATATTACTACCATTGAAGTAACTACATCTATGAACTTGGTGGTGATCTTTTTGTGCTATTGAGGTGTGGCAACTTGGATCGATGCATATATGTACCTGGTCCTACTTTGTAGCTGATTGACTGATACCTTCGAATGTAAAATGGCCAATACTGATGTTAGACACACAATATTGGCCAAAGATTACAACTCGATTGATGAGGTAGTGAATTCTCATTGTTCGAAATGTATTGCGTTAATATGTCACATAGTTCTGATAATCTTCGTCTTATTACATTATCGGAATTCTCATTAGTTAAATTTTTCGGAAAATGTATTTTTATTCTTAATCACCCCTACACCAACTCACTAAGTTTTCTGGCGTACTAGTGGGTTGGAAGAAAGCCAGGGACGATCAAACCAAGACTTGGCATCAGTCCATGAACCCATAGACTGTTAAACTGAGTTTTGTAGATAGGTTTAAACTACCTGTTTTGTGTCAGTATGTTTATCGTAACCAATAGCCGGAGACATTGGACGTCTGATCTGAACTTTTTTCCACATTTTGCAATATGAAAATGGCTTCATGCTGTTTATCCACTGACTGGTGTTAATCTAAATAAAATCCACAAACAGCATCAAGTTTATTCTACATGCAATTTTTAATGTACTATCTTCATTTAGTAGGACTGGAATTCACAATGATAACACGATTTACTCGGTTCTTTTGTGAGAACTCTCGGAAAATTTATTTTTATCTTTAATCATTTCGGTATTCCTACTAGGAATTTAGATGCATTAGTCAATAAGATATAACAGATACTCATTATTGTTCCACTTTGTTTAACACTTTTGCCAAGTTTTACGTTAAATCTGTGTTTTTTTTTCAGTTCGTTAAGTTATCGTCATTTGAGTGAGATTTGATATTCATGAAACTTATAGTTGTTATCCTGAAATAATGTAACTATTTCTGTACTGGTCAAAGTTGAGAATCACTGTATATTAATTAAACACACACATTTTGTTGGTATGTATTGAAATATAGGCCTCAAAACAGATATCTTGAGTCACTAAATGAACTCTGACGTCGTTTTTGATAGTTTACAGTCTTGTTCGGTACCATTGTGTTATTCTTCCAGTGAACGATTACGTTCACAACACCTTAGATTTACCACTTATTTATTTATTTAAACACATAAACATTGGTACAACGACGCACCAGATATATATATATGCGCCACACAAACCATTCGATTTGTGTGACTGCTGGAATACTCCCCGGGCACCCAAACAGAAGCAGGTGGTTTACTTAGTAGGCCACTTCCCGAGTCTTTAACCTAGAGGTCTAATCCATAAGACAGTAGAGCAACGTTCGGAGATGCAGTCCCATGGTAGCCGTTGACCAACAATGAGTTCACACGCCATTTGTTTCCTTAGGATCCTGGAGCCCATGTGCACCATCGGTATGGAGTTAGGGTTATTCAACTCCTCTAGGTGGATCCTTCATATCAACATACTTGCATACTAGTTGAATGTATTCGCTCTCAGTTCAACTAAAACTATCTTGGATAAGAATTATTAATCAATCAGTCACTCACACGACTCAACTTAGTTGAATTTAAATTTCAATGTACAGTCCTATTTATCTTCCTTTGATCAAATTTACATAATTTTGTCATTTTTTTGTTATTTCTTCAAAGAACTCACATCTATAATCTATCTTGTTTATTGTTAATTGTAAGGACGGATTTTTCTAGTTGTTGTTATTCAGTAAATAAACCGACCAGTTTGTGTTGATAAATGAGCTACATGAACAGATGCCTTGATATCATCTGCATTTACAGGTTTTATTTTAAATCTTAGCGAGAAGTGGACCTAAGTAGAAGTAATGTCGAAGTACTTTTTCAAGTGGCTTATACGCAAACAGAGGTGGTTCAATTCAATCTTGAACACAAACGCTCACAGTTGGTAATAAATACCACACCCCTCTAAACAAGTTATTGGCTATCATGAATCAGTAGTTCATCGGATAACAATCTAGAATCGGTGGTCACCAAGACTAAATCACACTAGGGAAATCAGCATTAAGATTCAGGTACATCTAATTGACACAAGTGTTAAGTGGAACAAAATATACATTCTACTGTTAGTCACTCGTCGAAATATACTTTTCTTTCTGTATTGAATTGAAGCATTATAATATTTTTTATGATCTGCTAGTGATACACATTGTAACATATCTCTGTCTTATCAATCCTTTCATAGTGTATCTCATTCAATATCTCAAAATTATACTTTCGACAAGCGAAGTTCCCAGCTCGTATGAAAAAATCAATTCATCAGCATCAAGGACAACAACTGAATTCATCACATAATTTATTCAGTCTAACTGTAGATCCATTTCAACGTTTAATTATTCATGTCCCATCTGTTGTAATAGTTGATCATGTTAGTAGTTCAAATGTCAATCAATTACTTTACTCATATAATCGAAACTATTCACCAAGTATCAATTTACTACCGCATAATTTAGATACACCAATGTTACGTATGGTTGTTGTCTGTTGGCCAGTTATACCAAGTTATTTAGAACAGGATAATATTTCATTATTATCTCAACAACAAATAGTAGAAAGAAGCAAGGTTGACAATGAAAAATTTGTAAGAAAAGGAGAAAATGTTAACATTGATGATAATGATGATACAGAAGATGAAGACAATGTATCAAATGATTGTTCAGTGAATATAACACAATTACAATCTATGAAAAATTTCGATTATATTTATTTACCACAACCTAATAATCTTGAAGTGGAAATTAAACTATCTATTCAACCATTGAAAATTAATTTAGATCAAGTAAGTTTCTATTGTGTTGTGACTGGTTAATTTATTTAAAGTTTGTTTATCTACCCCCTCCTCATCCACCCACTCCTAAACAATGAATCCTTCCTATTTTATTAGTTCCATTTATCTTTAAAAATAATTACTACACTAGTATCTATCGTGTGCGAAACCCACTGAAGATAATAGAAGACGGTTGTGCAATGTCATCGATCGATTGCATTTAAACACTGACACCGTAGGATGTCCGGCTCGGTGGTTCAGAGATTGAGAGTTTACGTATGAGACAGAAGGTCTTGAGTTCGATTCCCGAGTGCGGAGTTATGGGTGTGCATTGGTAAGGAGACCCATGATAGAATAAAATGGCCATCCAATGCTCCCATGTTTTCAATAGTGATGTCGCTTAGATCAGTCCGTGATTTAAATAAATTCGACAATCTTCACAACGCCATACTGATAAGTCAATTTCATCGAAGATATATATATATAATAGAAAACGAAAGACATAAAACTACTAAGCGAGACATGCAAGAGAAACAAAGCAAGTATGAATTCGCACATCTGGATGGTTGTATTGATGGACACTACTACCGTATTTCTCCATAATTATCAGAAATAGTAAAGATTAAATACGAGAACGGTTGTCGGGTGACCTAATAATTATAGTTCATCTTCTTGACACTTAAACCGTCAACAAATAAAAGAATATAATCATTTCTAATTTTTAAGAATTTCATCAATAGGTTGTAGTTCATTTTTTGAGTTTGGTAGTGAGCTTTTTACGTAAACCCTCCGTAACGTTTTATTCATATCCTCCGAAGAAATGTTTGGCTTTCGTCTAAATCTCATTCAGCATTTCACTCTGAAGGTATTCATGTATGTTAGTGAATACATTAAGCATTGAGCTGTTACACTCAATCCTGACCATCAACAACTTGAATATCTGGGATGCCTTGATACAACATAACACTTTCATTGTGTTTTCATGTATGTTAACATCACTGTAAAATATCTATCCAATCCACAGGCTGCAATTTCCTTTTTTAATCGTACAAAGTTTTCATATCGCTAATAAACTGAAAATTTAATTACTTTACTTACTTACGCCTGTTACTCCTAATAGAGCATAGACCGCCAACCAGCATTCTCCAACTCACTCTGTCCTGGGCCTTCTTTTCTAGTTCCATCCAATTCTTGTTCATTTTTCTCGTGTCTATCTCCATTTCCCGGCGTAATGTGTTCTTTGGTCTTCCTCATCTCCTTTGGCCTTGAAGATTCCATGTGAGGGCTTGTCTAGTGACGCAGTTGGGTGATTTCCTCAATGTGTGTCCTATCCACTTCCAGCACTTCTTCCTGATTTCTCCCTCTGCTGAAATCTGGTTTGTTCTCTCCCATAGTAGGTTGTTGCTGATAGTGTCCGGCCAACGGATCTGAAGTATTTTGCGTAGACAACTGTTAATAAACACCTGTATCTTCTGGATAATGGCTTTCGTAGTTCTCCAGGTTTCTGCCCCATACAGTAGAACTGTCTTGACATTTGTATTGAAAATCCTGACCTTGGTGTTGGTTGACAGTTGCTTTGAGTTCCAGATGTTCCTCAGTTGTAAATATGCTGCTCTTGCTTTGCCGATCCGCGCCTTCACATCTGCATCAGATCCACTCTGTTCGTCAATGATGCTGCCCAGATATGTAAAGGTTTTTACATCTTCCAAATCTTCTCCGTCAATTGTGATTGGATCGGTGCATGCTGTGTTGTATCGGAGAATCCTGCTTTTCCCTTTGTGTATATTGAGACATACTGCTGCTGAGGCTGCTGCTACACTGTTCGTCTTCTGCATTTGTTGTTGCGTTTGGGATAGGAGGGCCAGATCATCTCCGAATTCTAGATCGTCCAACTGCATCCTAGATGTCCACTGTATCCCGTGCTTCCTTTCAGATGTTGACGTCTTCATGACACATTCGATCACCAGGAGAAAGTGGAAGGGTGAGAGTAAGCAACCTTGCCTAACACTGGTATTTACTTCGAACGACTTTGTCAACTGTCCTCCATGCACGATTTTACAGTTGAATCCATCATAGGATTATCAATTTAATACTCAATCGAATTTCTGCACATCACTCCTGCACACTAATTCACAGTAGTATGAAACCTCTGAAAAGATACAAAGATTTTGTGTGATATTTTGTATAATATTTAAAGTAGCCAGATTCTTAAAGGGAAATTCGAATTGTTTTCATCGAAACGATGTGAAAAACTTAATGTTGGTTGTCATATTTTGATTTGTTTTCAAAACGATACAGTGTAACATTTTCTAGGTACTTAAAAATAGTTGTTGTCTGGTATAAATAAAGAAAAATTTTCATATGCGTACTTTTCTTTATTGGTCATAGAAAGTTTCATAACAATTGTTCACTGATTTCAGTCAGCTTGACATAATCACTAATTCCTTTTATGGAAGCTGTCTTATGGACACCTGTTTTGCATGTTGAACGAAATCTCTTTAAAGCCATTAAATGCTTACAAAACTACTGTTTTTATGAATGGGGGATCATTATTTATGCTATGCACTATGAAGATTAGCGCTGAAAGATTTCAATAATGACTGGGTCATTGTAATTATGTACAACTACATTCATTTAGGTGAGCACTTTTATTGGTTTAACTTTCTCCCTTCCACTCTTATGATCTTCCCTAGTATACACTGCTGTTTTTATACGAATATCAAGAAAATTTCAAAAGGTTGCTCACTGCTTCTTCAAGAGAATCAGACAACTTTCAGATGGGACAATCTGTATCAAGCTTGGAGTTTAGATCTCCAACTCAAGTATGTACTCAATATGGCTTAGCTTCAAGTCCTAATATCAATCCAAGTAACTCAACACAGCCTCATTTAAAGCAATACAATGATAATGTTAATACAGTTCCTTCACCACAGAGTATTTTAGTTCGTCCAGTTTACTTTCCAATGGACCCTATCGAACATAATCAGCCTGTTTTATTTATAAGGTTAGTGTTTGTTTTTTTGGAGGGGAGTTAAAATTTCAATTGTTACTTCTGATATTTACGTGCAGTTAATTGAAAATTTGTAACATCATTTTCGTACTAGCCTAAACCCTCTAAAAACATGTGTTTAGTTCTTTTGAAAATCGTAACCGTGTTCATATATAGTACAACATGGCTATATGACTAATGAATAACTCTCCATAAGACCAGTTACCACATATTCTTCCAATATTGCTTGCCTCCATTCATCGGACATCAAATATAATTAAATAGAATAGACAAATTCATTTAATGATACCACGATTAAGTAGAAATAAGGCACAGAGTAACTCACACACTAATGTTACTAAAATATCAATCCATAATATTTGCTCAATAAGCACAGTAAATCTAAACACAGAAGTACTTATTTTTCTTACAGTGTGTGTGTGTATGTCTGATACTGTGAAAACAGTGTCTGTGCAATATATATAATGTTCCTTTATCATTTACCTTTAATTCAACTTTAAACATTTCACTAATTCCGTGCAGTTATAATCCTTAATGTAATAATGGATATCTCATAATCTCTGAAAATTGCATTACTTAATAATCGTAAACCGATTCCTCTGCATTCACAACAAGATTTTGCATTGAATGTCATTTTTGAACTTAAACCATTTCTTGTATAATTAAAAAGTTCAAAGAAAATAACCCTAATAAAAGTCTTCAATATTGGCGTTTAGTTTAATCATACATAGTGAATTTAAATGATGAGAAAGTTTATGTCATGGAATGTTATCAATTAAATAACCATTGAAAACCACCAAGTACTGAATAAGTGTTTCATCATAGTTTGAAACTCTGAAACAATACCCATCAATAACCTCACTGTGGATTGAATTCAGGTCACAGGATGAGTATATAATTTTTCAAAACATTCAGTGGGAAATATAATAATTCATATTCAACTTAGTTCACAAATTAACATGAAAATTATGTCAAATGTCTAATTAGTGTTATCTATTGCAATTATACTTTAAAACTTATTATTAGGAACTATCCAATATTAGAATGGGGGCTTGTGGAGACTGTAGTGATTTTAGTAGTTGAATTCATGATTCGATGTAAGCTAGACCTGAGTCCCACATGCGGGATCGTGGGTGCGCACTGCTGAGGAGCCCCATACGAAGACGAAACGGCCATCCAGTGCTTCCAGGTTTTAAATGGTAGTCTAGTTTACATCGACTCATGAATTCAACAGTTAAAATTACCCAATAATCGTTAGTTATTCAAAGGATTTTTCTTAATAAACTAATTATCTAAATAAATAACATTTTCCTGATTTTTTTCAAATTTCAGAAAATTCACTTTCTACCCTGACTTATCTGTTCACCTTGATTATCATGGAAGGCGTTTGGATTTGAGTGGGGTAAACAAGAGAAATCTGAATTCCTATTATTATTAATATTATTATTATTATCATTATTATTATTATTATCATTATTATTATTATTATTATTATTATTATTATTATTATTATTATTATTATTATTATTATTATTATTATTAGTCTGGTTGTAATCAGTAAAGATTGGTTTAGTAATAAAATCCTTCTTTTATTACCTTTTACTTATATCTTGTGACTTCATAAATGCAACTATTAGTTACAGCTTCTGTGTAAGATAATTGCTACCAATAGAATAACTTACCAAAAGCTTATAAGTCAGCACTTAGCCTTGTTAGTTTGCTAATCATTCGGTAATTATTTATACCATTGGTTATCAATTGTGTAATCAAGAATTTTCCTCTGTTTATTTGAGTATTTTTGCTTTAGAAGGTTTTATTTAGAATTTACGCTTATCAGAATAACATTAAAATATGGTTATTTGAAAACTTTGAACATCATTATTCACTCTGGATCTTACCTACCTGTTTACATTGTTGAAAAATATTTCTTTATATAAGAATTATACGATTTGATTCCGTTCATTGAGTTGTAGTAACTTTCTAAGAGGCATTATAAACTAGAGTAGTCTAAACAGTTGCTTTTGTCTCAGCATCATACATCCTCAAAGTCCATTATATCTCGAAAAAATTAATTTTCTGATGAATCATGATTGGCTAATGAACGAAGATATACTGTCAACCCTACTTATTGTTTAAGAAATTATTTAGTGTTTTAAATTCCTTTCCGTTTGTTATTCTTCTCTGTGTTTCACTGTGTAGGTACTGCTTGTACTTTGTATGAATGAATTGTTCTATCTCGTATAATGTGGTCCTTAGTCTTGGGTCAGATATTATATGAATTTGTGTGTAAATATATCACGTGATCGTTCAATCTAGTAACCAATTCATTTTTTTATATTATATTGTGTCCAAATAGAAAATTCCTGTATTTTACATTATAGTAGAAACTGTTAAAATCGCCGGTTTTCATCTACCTGTAATGTGTTATTGATACCGTTTATTAATTGATCAATATCAGATCGGTTTCAGAATGAACTTCGCATAGAATTCAGATATAAGCTACGATGTTTTACTTTATTTTTATTTTGTTCTTAATCAATCAAGAATTTACATTATACACTGTATTATTTAACAGGGTTCATTTCATGGCTTACTTGCAATGCTTCTTCAATTAACGAATGCTGAATTCACAATTCCTCGACGTGTTTATCAACGTGGTTATCAAAGTTTCGATAGATTAATTGAAGAAGTTGTAGAAGATTTAAGTTCTATTATCTCAGCACAACTACCTCATGCTATTGTAACTAGTTTTGGTCCAATGCATGAAGTAACACAATTTCGTAAGTTACATTGAATTGATTTGCTATATTTTATTTCTCGTCTGAATAATATTTTGTGTATGAAAATTAAGTAATAAACGTTATTTAAGTGGTACTTTTGTTGTCTACATTGTACTCATCATAAAAATAATTTATCATCGTTCTAGGATGATTGAATATTCATTCAACTTATTTACAAATTCAATGCTTACTAGATTCTTTCACTTCTGTGTTACTATGATTGCTTTCACTTACACACTGATTGACTGACTATACTCTCTTTATTCTGATCTAAATGAGCCAAAACTATGTAAATCAGAACTAATAGCCAGATCTTAGTTATTATTATTTAGAACAATTCTGACTGACAGACTGTGATTTTAATGATTAAAGGTGAAGTATAATCGATTAATTGCTAACAAAACACAATCAGAGTATTTTTTTAATTCGTTGGAGTAAATTAAGAATCATAATCTACCCCCCTATCATAAAATAATCGAGTTGATATTTCTTGAAAAATTATTGTTTAATGTGAATTTTAATTTCACCAAATACATAGAGATAAAAATATGACATCGTTATGACTGCTGTTCTAGTCACGTAATTAATTTGAGGAAACCAGATTTTCTACTTTAACTAATTACGATGATTGACGGATAAGATCATGTTTTGCTACAAATAAAACAATTTAATCTTAATAATAACTGAATCATTTATGCATGACAAACAAATTAATCATTTAGTTATTACATCATATTTGTCTTTTTCTAATATCCAATATATTTTCAGGAAATATATTGTCCTCCTATTACATGAGTTTTCAAATCATTATTCTCTATTGCTTAAGATTAGTTGCAATCTGTCGGTCAAGAAATTCGATGTGACTAAGTTAACGAAGTATGATGTGATCACAATAATGTAGTGGATTAAGCTTAGTAACAAGTGTTTAGAAGCTGGATACGCGAAGTAGTCTGTTATCTTTATTAGTAACTATCATTAATTATATAATAGCTGTGATACTGTCCGATCGCCCGAAACGAAGCACGTAGTTTCTTCAAAAGCCATATTCTCTAGGCGATGGAGAAACGTCAATTAATGCTATCTCATGTTATTCAATAACCGTAGTTGGTTCAAATGCTATTCATTCCCTTAGGATTCTATAGCCCCTGTGTACAACTGGTTTAGAATAATGGTTCCTTAACTCTTTTAAGTGTTCTTTCCCCATTGGCCGGATGTAAGCGCCGTATGCCTGCTCTCACCCTTCTGCTCTTATGAACTCTCGTATTTCAAGGCTTCTTTGAATGAGATTATAAATGCGCTGCTGTATGAAAACATTTCAAGAGAGATGACTTTCCTCACCTTTGATGGGACTAGTTCGTCTGGAGCATGTTCGAAAACACTTATTGAGAACTCTGAACCTTGGCTCCATTTTTCCCAGTTATAAATAACCTAGAAACTCATCCAACTACAACTTGTATTGTTCATATCTATCCATTAAGAGATATTTTCACAGATATCCTCAGATGTTAAGTTACACCTTCACAAAAATGAAACAGGCCGTCTCCTAACAAATATTATTAAGTTCGCAAATATTGGTCCATGACCGTTTGTTCATAACACAAGATCTAGATATATCTTACGGATAAATCTGATTTTTTCTTTATCATTCCAAGTATTCATTAAGTTTTTCATTGTTTCTTAAAGCTAATAGATTATTCCATTGAAAGTCTCTCTAATGTGATTTTTACGTCGTTATATGAACTTCTCTCAGTAATGTATCGGTTACGCTAGATTTAGTTAACAAGGGTATTATTGCTGTTAAATCGTGCACTATTGGTTCTTCATGTGTACTGTCGTAATACACATCGAAATCTTATTCTTATATTTCAGTTCTCGGTTTATGGGATCTAGTCTATCAACCTGTTTGCAGCTTCTATGGGACGGCTGAATTACCTAATACATCATTGGATTCTGGTCATGTTGGTACAGCTGTTTGTAAATTGGGTCTGTTTAAAAAACCTCATCAGCTTCGCAATGAAATTTGTCATAGTAGAGAATATACGCCTACAGATACATCTTGTGGTACCAATCGAAGTGGAATTATTCATGGTCTTAGAAGGGGCACACGATCATTTTCAACAAGTACTCTATGGGCTACCTTACAGTTGAGTATTCAAGGTATAAGAGCTCTTCAATCTATTGCAGAAGTAAGTTTGATATTGATTTAGTTTATTTTAAATTTGTGTGTACAATAATGAACATATAATTCCTGTTATATATTTCGAAACTTAAATAGATTTCTAGTTCCGTTTTATTTATCAATGGATGTTTATGATTAAAAATATTCACTGACAAACGTCAAAATAATTTAACTATCTTACCTTGGCAATGAGAGGTTTAAATAAAGCCAGAACAAATATTGATGCAGAATTATATGAATTTATTTTATATGGAGGTTTTTCGTCAACTGCTTACAACCAAATATGTATTAGGATTTAACATTGATCCTCTTAAATTATGTGAGCTCTTCAAATTCTATTCAACTATTACGTAATTCATCCTATCAGTTTTTAATTCCATGAATCCTTCATTACCTTTAAATTAGCTGTCCCTGAACTCCACTCAACTATTACACCACCCATCCTGAATTGTTTCCTTAATTTTAACATCAATTAACCTCTGACCTGTTCTTGCATATATATAGTTATTATTGATAGCCTGTCATTCCAATCCTTTACATTCACTTATGTCAATTGTTTCACATTATTTCTTATCTCAATGTAAAATTCTAATACATATTTGGTTGTAAGCAGCTGACGGGAAACCTCCAAATAAAATGAATTCATATTATTCTGCATCAAGATTTGTTCTGGTTTTATTTAAATTCATAAAGGGAACTTATTGCATGAAATGAGAGGTTTATCAGACTTTTTTCCGTATACAAGGGTCATGTCGAAAGTTCGTAATGGCATTCGCCTATGCAACGCTAAGTAAAAGTTGCGTTCTCTTTTTCTTAATTGTTTTAAAACGCTTTCGCTATATTCACGTATCTGTTGCATCCGGAAGAAGAATAAATGGTAACCGCTAAGAATTATTTATGGACTGATATTATGAGTATTGTATAACTATTAAGTAACTATATTATATGTACATTCATATTCCTTTTATTATAAGCTTCCGTCTAACCTATTGGCTACTATTATACGATTTACTATTAGTGAGTTATTCCCAATTTATTACTTACAGTCTCTCACAACCACAGTCACTTTTTGGCCTGATCTTGTATAATTGTTATTTTCTATCTTATGGTACGATGCGGTCTGGTTTGTTTGTATATAAACCCAGTATGTCTGAAATATATGCTTCGTCTAACGGAGGCTGATATCGGTGTTCTGGACTGAACCGGCTGGGTTAGGAGTGTTCGGATATTCAAGAAAATATCCCAGAAATTATCCTATTAAGCCTAATGCTATTCTTGGACTTGGACATGGTATTATTTTCTTATTGGTCAGTACTTATTTCACGTGTTCAATATTGTACAATGTTATTTTCTATTTTATGGTACGTTGTGGTCTGATTGACTGGTATATAAACAAAGTATGTTTGAAATATAATGATTCATATATCCGAGGCTGTGACTTGCGTTCTGAACTCAACTGCTGGGCTAGATAGGGAAGCAGGGCCAATCAGAACCCTAGGTCGTTCTACGTGTTTGCGCGTCTTTGGTCTGATCGATAATTCGCTACCCTCTAGTCTGCTGCCGTCACAGTTATAGCAAGGAGAGAAGCTACTATCTCAGAGGACCATTAAGAACTCTAGGCTACTCATACAAGTTTATGCGTCATCTATTCATTTATTAAGTTGGTGTTTTTTAATTGGCGATCGTACTATATAACATATTACAAGGCCATACAGCCATAACAGTATTCACTATCCGCTAAATGTCTGGTGGTCTCACTTATGCTTAGGTGTATGTCAGAAAATACTGGTTTGGTAGTCATGAGCTGAATGATATGTATGTAATGTGTCAGAGACAGTCTGTTGTGGTAGATATGTTTTCAAGGGACCGGTGAATATCTAGCCTCCGAAGTGGGTGAATACATCTATATGTATGCTACAGGATGCATGGGATAAAATCTGTGTTACCGGTGTGCATGTAACGTATATTTGCTCACAGAGTAGGTATATCTGTATGTATACCAAGGAATACCCGGATGAAAGTCTGTGTTACCTACTATGCATGTAGACTATACTTATCGAGAGTAAGCAAAAACTCCAAAGCAAACGAGTGCCAAGTAGCACGAAACCCGGGTCCAGGGTTTCCTGTCAACTGCCTCCAACCACCATCTAATCTCAATATATAGTGCACGCAGTGTCGAGTCACCAAGACTGGTAGCCACATTGCAACATAGTCGATGGAATTCGATCTGCACTAAATACGGACATGACACACATGACATTTATCACCACCCAGTGACCAATCAATTGTGATTACATCTCAGTCCTACAGATCAGTCGCGGCCCGGATAACTCAGTGGTAACGTCTCTGACTGTGAAGCTGGGTGATACGGGGTCGAATCCTCCAGGGAGCACCAGTTCCCTCAGGTACTCCTTGCTCACGAGTGCCAAGTAGCACGAAACTCGGGTCCAGGGTTTCCTGTAGACTACCTCCAACCACCATCTAACCTACAAATATCCTCTACTCTTACCGGCCATGTTTCACTGCCATAGAGTAGGACGGAACAAACTGCTACACAGTAAACTCGTCCTTTGGCTGGTAGACGGATATCTCGCCTATACCATAAATGACGCATGTTGACAAGAGCTAGTCGAGCCTTCTGTATCCGTGTTGAGATTTCGTCACACACCAGACCACAAGGGCTGATGAGACTGCCATAGAACCTTACGATCAACAGAGTCAAATGCCGCCTTAAGGTCGAGAAATACTACCATTGTGGGGCGTCTGAATGTGTGCCTATGTTCTAGGACCTGACGTAGTGTGAATATCTGATCTATACAACCACGTCCATGTCGAAAACCAGCGTGGTTTTCTCTAATCTGCTCTTCACGAGCTTTAGTTAGGCGTCGAAGTATTATTGAAGCTAATATTTTAGACACTATATTAGTCAAACTGATTCCTCTGTGACTGTCACAAGAGGGCTTTTATCCTTACTTATAGACTAGCACAATCAGTGATTGAGGCCGGTCAGATGGGATTACGTCCAGTTCCCAAATTCTACCTAAGACTTCAGTTAATCTCACTTCTAATACTGAACCACCATCCTTAAAAATCTCAGGAGTAAATCTGTCAGGGCCTGCTGCTCTCCCTCGCTTCAGATTTCTTATGGCTTTTTCAACTTTGTAAGGAGACGGAGGACCTAAATTCACTTGCCATTCAGGTTGACTGGATATCGTGGGAAACTGAGGTGTGGCTGAAGGCCAGTTGAACTGATCCCTGAAGTGTTCTGCCCATCGATCCAATCTCCTGAATTGAGAGTGTATAATATGTCCATCTTTCTCTGAGATTGTTTCGCTAATTGTCGGATTCCTAATACCGATTTCCTTAACAAGTCTGAACAATTGTCTGCTAAAACCTGTTGCCGCTGTCTTTTCCATCTCTCTCGCTTTCTCTACCCACCACTGTTCACGATCATTGCGTAGACTTCTTGTCTGCTTGCGCATAGGCTGACTCCGTTTTTCATTATGTTCAGAGCCAGGTGGAATGAGTTTTCGAGCATCTGTCAGTGCGATAGATGCTGCTGAGTTCCAGTGTTGCTCCCTAACCTTGTGGTTTACCTTACTAGCATATATCACTGCTGTTTCCACAGCTTTTCGGATATCATTCCATGCTGCCTCGGGGTGGGCATCACATACATGGCTGTCTAACTGTTTTTCTAGTTGTTCCTGGAATATACTCTTAGCTTGACTATCATTAAGTAGGCCCCTAAGAGGTTTACTTGCAGCGTCTTTCCTACGTCTAATAAGACGCAGACAGATACGCGCTCGTACTAGACCATGGTCTGAATCTAAGCATGTGCTCCAAAATGAGCCACAGTCTTCTATCGAGCCTCTCCATCGGTGGCTGATGACGATGTGATCTATTTGGGTCCAATGTTGGGACGAATTAGGGGGTCGCCATGTTAAAAGATGATTTTCCTTATGCTTAAAGTTAGTATTTGCAAGGAACAGGCGGTTATCTGAACATAGCTGCAACAGACGGTCACCATTATCTGTTCTTTGAGCCATGATGCTATAGGATCCACCCAGTTGTCTTTCCCTATCGCTTAGTTTACCTACTTGAGCATTAAAGTCACCGGCCATTATTGCTACATCCGAGCGCCTAGCTTTTGGGAGAAAGTCGGAATGCTTTCTGTAAAACTCATCTTTTACATCATCTGAGCTGCAGTCAGTGGGAGAGTAGGCAGAGACGACGAAGAGGCAACGACGAGTGTCCCTATCTTTTCGGATCCTTACTGTTCCGTTCAGTCGGACAGCGCACAAACGGCTGTCTACTGGTATCCACTCTACGACAGTTAGTTCTGCCCTAGGACTCAATGCTATACCTACGCCGGCGAGGCCACGAGAAGCAGCATCATGGCTTCCAGATACACGAAGTGTAAATGGAGTCGGTTCTTTATTTTGGCATGGTGAGGTCAAATGAATGACACTACTCGGATCCTATATGCGCGTTTCGGAGACGCAGCACACATCGATGGCGCGAGATTCTAAAGTCGTAGCTAAGGAAGCTTGTTGTCCTATTTGGCACAGTGTTCGGACGTTGAAAGCTCCTACGTGTAGTTTAGAGCGTGGTTTCAGGAGACCAGGAATAACGTTCCGCATACTCGAATCGTTTGCCCTAGCGGTGCGAGGTGATAAAGGGACGTGGGAAGGATTAGTTGGGGAGATAAGAATGGTATTAAGAGGAGTAGGAAGGATATGAATGTGACCAACTTGGTCTCATGTGCTGTTAAGGGTATGAGGGCTGGTGTCACTTCCCGGCTGCCCACACCGTTGAAGGGTATTTCTTGAGGAACCTGAAAAGGAAGTCGAATTAATGTTGGCCTTATCAACCTGGGAGCGTGACCACAGAGCCCAAGGGACAACTGCTTGAGGTCGGTTGCACACGGCCTTTTCATGGGAGGTTTTTAATTTGTTAGCTCCGTTCTTCAAAGGGCCTTACCGCCGGAGACGGAAACCCGTGAGGTAAGGTGGTGTGACATTTTTGGGGTCGACCTTTTCTAAACCCACCCCTCCTTGTGAGAAGGCAGCATCGCTGCAGATGCTGGTTGTCAAAGGGAAACACCTTACTGCTGTCACACCTCTCTACAGTCAGCAGTACGATTTCGCCCTCAGACTTTGAGTGGCTGTTTTTAGTCTTACCGTTCTCCAATCGACCTGCCTGGCACGTAGAACCTAAAGGAACATATGTTCCAGCCAATATAGCTCGGTTGGATCATCACGATAGGCAAGCCCGACCACCGCGTCAAGGTAACAGCTACGGTCGAGACATTTTCCCCTACTTCACGACAAATTTCTTCAGATATCCATTTTAATAAGATACTCATGAATGTATGCTATTTCTTCTTGTATTTTAAAGCTGAACGCAATCTCTTAGCCCTGTTAAATAAGGTTTTAACTAAACAACTTTTGTAACTAACAGTATAAAAACTTGAGTAATGTTCCGTCGATATTTCTTTCCTGGTAATAATCAAGAATTGAGTAAGATTAGTTTACCCGTGTGTTTTTACATTCAACACATGACCAATGAATGAATAACTAAACATTCAATTCTATCTCGAAAGTACAAGTTTCAAATTATAATCGATCTCATTGGAAAAGATACAATCAATATTTATCTTGATGTAAATTAGTAACATCACATTATTTATTTTCTAGTTGATTCGTAACTTCTAAATACTTTTGCTGTTTGTTTATTAGCGATCAATATTCAATAGGAATTAGTTACGTGTCTTTTACACCATAATAAATTATATATTTGTTATTTTTCTTTTCATATTTCAGACGGCTTACGATTTAGTTACACCAGGACCAGCTTTACGTAGTCGACGATTATATTTAAGACAACCAGCTGATATACGCGAAGGATTCGGTAATGCTGTAAATGTATTGACGCGAGGATTTCAAATGGTAGCAGAAGATTTGTGTGGTGCTACTGCATTACCATCAGAAGTTGAAATTGGATATAAAGGTCCAGTTGGAATGGTTGGTGATGTGTTACGTCAAATACCACCAACTATGGTCACGCCCATAGTGGCCAGCTGTGAAGTAAGCACAATGAATTGGTTTATTTTTCTCTTCCCTCTTTGAGTTTTATACTGCTGTTTGTATGATTCGCTGAAATGCTCATTTCTGGATGCGTAGACGTTCTGCCAAACACATAACCAGTAATAACAACTATGGGACATGTTTGCAAGATTTTTTCTAAATATGACTTTTTCAGTAGTGCTTTTCAATTACCCTTTTGATATGCTATCATCGACGCACCCCCCACCCAATCCCTTCCAGATTTCTTTTTCAGAAAAGTTGAAATGGTTGGTCAATCAGACGAGCCCATACTACTTGTTGAAAGTATGGCTTCACTTTCTGAAAGATGTGTTTTCGAGAGAGCGATGGATTCATGCTCGAATCGCTTAGTCAGTAAAAGGCTTCCTGCTCACTCGGTTTTCTTCACTCAAACAGCTGGTCGGGCTCATATAGAAAACTTTTATATGAGTATCTGACCCGTACGACCGCACAACATAAACTATAAATTAAATTTAGTTATTTATTCAGATGATCAACTGTATCGTAGCAAAAAAGACTTCTTTCCTCAGGATGATAAGAGTATCGAATAGAGCTAGAACATGGCAGGCTGAAAATTACTTCTAATCTTCTGGTTACCACCTGTACAACAATTTTATTATGTAGTGAGAATCATTAAGTTCTGTAATCTGTTACCATAAATCTTATCACTAAATATTTTCTGTCCATATAATTGTTTAATGTCATTCAAATATTGTAATAAAATTGTCATTATCGTTTTTTCTTATCATCAATCTTTACAGGTAACAGCAAATATTCTCGGGGGTTTACGTAACCAACTTAGACCTGAAGCTAAAGTTGAGGATGAACAAAAGTGGAAGAATACTTACGGCTTATAATTAAAAAAATGTAATAAATGATAAAAGATAGATCCTTTTTATTCCGCTTGCACATAAAAACGTCAAAAAGTGTATAAATTATGAAAAATGAGAACTTTTCAATTTTGAAACACTTAATTACTTGCCTTTCTCCTGTTACTGATCACTTCTAAACCCTTTTTTTCGCACATTAACTAACTTCAGATAAATATTCATTTAACTAATATGTCTTTCGTTATTTTCTCATTTATCTTTAATCCTCAGCCAATTATTTATGAGAGTACATTGGATGTAAATTTTGTGATTTTTGCGAACTTGAATTAAACCCCCTTTTTCTCTATTTCCCGCTCTCCTTTATTATGTTCACTCTGCAATGCTGTTGCCGCTGTTATTATTCTTATTAATTCCATTCAGTTTCACTTCTATTTTCTATTCTTCAGCTTATTTTGCTTTTCCCTTAAATTATACTTTCAATGATGTGGCTTATTTTTATTTATCAAAGAATAAAAACAAAGGCCAGATTGAGTATCTAGTGGGTCGTGTTAATAATAATGAACAACAGTTTTCTTACTGTGCATAAATTTTCTAGATATTTCAAATTTTTATGTATTTATTAATCGACTGAGGAATAGTGTTATTGTAAGTCAATGATTTCGACTATTAACAGAAAAAACGAAACATGATATTAAGTTGTATACACTAAATGACCTAAGTATCTCATAGGAGTCAGTCAGTAAATAACAACGTAGAACCTCGTGCGTACATCAGTTCGAGTTGCCATACCACATCATAAGAGTTTGTGGTTAGGAAATCTTCGATGATCGTACTCTGTACCACTGTTGCAGTAGCACAATTAAAAAGACTTCGAAATAACGAAAGGAAACCATTGAATCATTCAACAAAATCGTAACTTTTCGATAAAGAAAACTATTTTGGATGATCATTTACTAAAGCTGTACAATAACATAGTTATTTTTACATGCAGAATGAACTCCTGTTCGTCCATATTTTCATTTTCCTTATAATCTTCTGGTGGATAATCTTTCACATCTCGTTTCTATATGTTATCTCATCATTAATACCATCTGACTGATACGTAGCTTAGAATTCTGACCGACTTTTAGTGGCTCTGTTAATGACACATTAAACTCTTTATTTATGTTACACCCCACTATACATAAAAAAGTAATTTTAAGTACAGTTGTATGACTCTGGTGAATGTGACATTCGAAAAAAAACTTTTCTTCGCTAAAACGTCTTCACTTCATGCATCGTTAACAAGTTCTTATATGATAAATCATAATATCTACCTCTTTGATTTTACGGTTAGTTTGCATATGTTGAGTGTTACTGTCCTACTGCAAATCCGACGTCTGAACCCCCTTCGGACTAGTTCAGTTTTAGCAGCCCAGTAGTACCACTAGCTAGGCTTCTAGTAAACTGTGTAACTCAAAGCTGACCACATAAACCTGGACATGGCAAATGAGATTTTTTAACTGCGGTTTTTAAATAAACTAGCTGACGGACGAACAAAAGACGCAGTGTATTAGAAAACAGCCAAATGTGTCTTAACAAAAGACAATAAACAACTGCAGCTAAATAAGTAAAACAAACAAAAAATAGGCCATATCTATTCCCAGTAAAGGAATTTCACTGAAAGCAAACAGATGAAGAATAATGAAGCACAGCCAAAATTATAATCCATCTTGAAGAATTACATAATAATAAAATGTCAGGATATTCCATCTTAATTGATTACAATTTAAGTTGAACCAGTTCAACTCGAACAGCTTTTTTATATTCCTCCAAACCACCTGGTAATGAATATACACGACTTCCTTTAGCACTGTCAACAGGACTTATGCCCATACGTGTACACACCCATACTTCGTTACATACAGCTTGAATTAAACGTTCGTCATGTGAAACAAGTACAACTCCACCGGGAAAATTAACCAAAGCATCAGATAAACCTGCAATCGTTTCTACATCTAGATGATTTGTCGGTTCATCGAGAACAAGCATATTTGGACTAAAAATTGAAAGGACAGAAAATGAAATTCCTATGTAGGTCGGTAAATCCTTTCAAATAATAGGAAATGTACCAATATTCTAAATAGCTAAATACAAGTGTACAAACAAGACCACGTTTGCCTAGTTAATGGTTAACTGTACATGTAGGACAACCACATGATATCAATATATTCGTGATCGATAAACCTAGCAAATGTACGCATCAGTCAAAGTTGCAATTTCGTCATTCGTTCAAACAACAGTTGATTTTTGTTATTCCCCAGCTAGTTAGTTAAAGATCAGTGACAAAAATAATTCATCTCACCGTTTTTAATTTTATTTGAATAGGACGTACTTCCTATAAAACATTACTGCTTCAAACTAGCTAATTTCATTAAGGCAAGCCGTATTAAATTATTATTAATAATTTGTCTATGTATTTTAATAGACTACAGTTACTGTTGAGTAGTATAAAAATTTTGTTTCTAACCACTATGTACACCTAATAGGATTCAAACAATACTACTATTAGACTTGATACAATAGATGTTGCGCATCATTGTTAAAGATGTTGGTTTGGGTGTTTTTATAACTTTGATCATTGATTTAAATTCATAACTAATAAGTCTTCCAACCACTACTAGTTGGATTGTTACGATTGATAATGATAATAGCAGTAAGCTTCTCACCTAACTTCAGAGTTCCATTACCTCCGATGGACAGATTATGCAATATTTTCTCAAACATTGTTCTTTAGACTTCGATTCACCTCTATTTGAGGCATTTTTTGACTTGTTTTACTGATTGTTCTCAGCCCTTATGAATTTAAGAAATAAGACAATTTGAAGTAAAGCACTTCTGTGCAAGATTTGATGTTTTCGTATTCGTCTCTTTCCTAGGTACAAAACGCAGTGACCTGCTGTGTTACACTGTACAGTTGTAATACAATCACTGAAAATGAAGCTTAAGTAATTATCCATGTACTCACTAGAAATGACTAAAGAGAATGTTGCTACAGTTAATGTGATAGATACTAGTACATGGTAAAAATTTCACATGAGCTGTATAAAAGTAGAATGACGAATAGAAAGTTTAAAAACTATGTGGGTCAGTTTAACATAGTACAATCGATTAGTGAGTCATTATAATATAATTTAATATGGTTACCAAAATATAAAAAAACATCATTAGTTGCCATAAAACTTACTTGGACATACACATAGCAACAAATGCAACTCTTGATTTTTGTCCCCCTGACAAACTACCGATTGGTTGAAGAGCAAGCATTTCCGTTATATTGAAATTTGCCAACTGGGAACGATAAACTTGTTCAGTTTGATTTGGGAACTTTCTCATCAAAAATTCTAAACTGCTTAACTTTAAATCCAGCTGGTCAACATGATGTTGGCTAAAGTAGCCAATACGTAAACTACGATGTGCGTGGCGTAATCCTGAAGTCGGTTCTAAATCACCTAAAAGAAGCCGAAGTAATGTCGTTTTACCTGCACCATTCTCACCAACCTGAATAAGAAAACAGTCGACAAATATTAATAAGAATAATTCACTAAATGAACTAACAATAAAAATTGAAGTAGAATAAAATCTAAGAAATCTATTAGTAACCCAAAAGGAAAGTGCTGGAAGATGAAAATAAGTTAAGTCTGTGTCGTTTAGGAATGAAATTAAAACCCACAATAATAGTCAATATTTGTTCATTGAATTTCAACCAGTGGTCTCCACTCACTTTGTCATTAACTTTTAGTAGTCAAAAAGTTCATGTATTTGAGTAGTTGGGTGCGTGGTTGCAGTAGCAGGTCAGATAAAAATCAATCTACGTACAGTGAAAGCTAAAGTGGATTAAGTTAATCTGGGTTATCTTTGGAACCACCATGATGCTGGTTTGGCCGTAAAACGTCCGGTGCACAAGGCATCAGTAAGAGCAGTTTTTTGTATGCCTCAAAAACCTAGTCTCTGCAGGTCCAGAATGTTGAGCGACTTTGTGTTAGAACATTGTTGTCTTCGAATGATTGCTGACATTTAGTGGTAACGCTATGTTGGTAATGAGGAGGTTTAGCAATGTGTTAGGGCACGGTGACGATAAATTGATTGGAAGCACAATCTTGAAACACCGACCTCGACAGCTCGAAAATGTATCACAAATGTCATCTCAGCAGCTTTCGCATCGTGCGTTATTTGCCAACTCTGAGGCTGATTGGAAAAAGTGGAGAGATGGTCGGTTTATAGCATAGTGCTGTGGTATCAAAGAAAGCTTTAAAGGACAGGCATCTGTTAGTCCATGAAGACTCTCTTTGCGATTCTAGGGATGGTGTAACCCAATGATTTCAGATGTTATCAGACATGCCTCGGCTTACAATAGAAGCCAGTGGAAATCCTGATTTAGTTTTCTGTTATATTCTACATAAACGTCAGACAAATTTTCTTAACTGAAGGAATTTTTTAATTGTTATCTGTTTAACAGAACTGTCTTATCATATACTACTCTTGTTCATTTATAAATTGATTTTATTGGGATTTTCTCCTTTATTTCTTCATTATATTATCATTTCTTTTATGTGGTACATCTTCGGAACTATACTACACCAGAATTTATGCACTTCAAATAAATAAATACAACTAACCACAGGCTTTCAGGTTTAAGCCCCGCTTTACTTTGTTTAGTGATTTTGTGCAACCAGATGAAATCAATAATCCTTACATTTAAAATACATTTCAAAACAGAGTATATATAAAGTAAACTGGATAAATGAATTATATTCATTAATTGGAAAACTTATTAGGAAATTTATAAATTAACGAACTGACACTCAAAAGATAATATTTACAGTTTTTAATCAATGAAGCTCGCGATGTGACTTATCTGACATGAAAAGTGAATATTTTAAACTATGGACATAGTCGCATTCTTGATATTGTTTGTAATTAGTATATTTATGTAAGCTATTTACTATCACTTTATTACCAGTTCCATGAAATTAGTAACCTTTATATATAAATAATCATTTTTATTTAACCTAATAAATGTACAGTTTAATAACTTACAATGCTGATTCGTGAATCTGGTGAAATGCTCAAATTGACATGATTTAAAATTGGTTTGTCCAGTACATAATGAAAACAGACTTCATCAAGTTGTAACAATGGAGGAGAAAGTTTTTCACAATCAGGCAGTCGAATCACAACTTTCAATTCTTTTTCAGGAGGAATTAATGGTGGCAACTTTTCTAAATGCTTAATTCTACTTTGTACGAGGGATGCACGTTTTGCATTGTAACGAAATTTATCTATAAATTGCTAAGAATACAAATAATTATAATTACAATATAAGTGAATATCAATTGTCAAATGAAACAGGATTTATCAGCTAAATAATTAATCAACAAATAATTCTATTAACGCTCTCTAACCAAAGCATACTTTAGACTGAAATATTTTTACATTACAATCAAGCAGCATACGCAACTATAACCTCAGTGGGAGTTACATTATGAGACTATTAAGTTTCTTCATAATATCTACAGTAAGGTTAAAACTTTAATATAACATTCTAAGGTCATTTTTCTCAACA